AGTGGGTCTGATGAGGGGATTAAACAATAGTAAGGGGAAATATTCTCTTTCTGTATATCCTGTCCTCCGTCAACTAAAGGTGTCTGCAATTGCGAATGTGTATGGGCAGCGGTCGCTTTACTATTTCGACAAATTCAGGTGTCAGTTTGCTCGCTTGCCACCTTATACTTAATATAAAAAAGTCAAGTTGTTCAAAATACAAATTTTACGTAATTCGCAAACACACAAACATTGATTTTTATTTAAGTAAATAGTTAAGGTGTTAAGTGGACAGAGTTGGCGCGCTAGCATCGTCTTTTAGTTAGAATTGTTTTTTCATCAAGAAGTATATTTCTTGGAATTAAAAAAAAACTACTTTCAATCTTTGTAAAAAATCTGCGAACAATTTTCGAGCTTAATAATTTGAGAGATTATTAAATAACTCAGAAATCGCGGAGATATTCCTAAAAAAATTCTAAAAAAAAGAAACAACAGTCTGGCTGGTATAACACACCCAAACAATAACACAATAAAAATTGACATACCATTTTGGGAAAATTTTGAAATTTTCAAGTGTGAAATTTTAAAGTAATGAAAATAATTATTCTTGTTTATGTAACGTAAAGTGAATGAAAAATAATTCTGATAATGTCTTCTTCGGATTCATTGTTTTTGATAGAAATCAAAATAGAAGATTTCGTCAGTTTCATTAAATGTAGAGAGTTCGGAATTCTCTGTACATTTAGTGATTTGTTCGCGTTAGATATTAAAGATCCAAGAATAATACACAAAAAAGCAAAAGATCAATCCGCACTCACACGAAAAACAACACAAAGTGGTCCATTTAATGAAAAATCAAGGAAACCTAAACTGCAAGCCACTAATTCAATAGTTATTTCTTATGATGTCAATAGATTAATATCAAAGATGGAGAAGATGCCAATGGTAATATTTCTTCGCAAAAAATTTAAATCAGTCAGGGAATTTGGATTTATGCAATACGAATGGGAAAAATTATATATTGATTATTTGAAAAACTTAGAATTTACCAAGGAATTACCTCAACCAATTCAAACCGTGAAGAAATGTACAATATTAAACGACACAGGAAAACAGAAAATTGCGTGTTTTAAGACAACTGTGAAGTTAAGCTTAGTAAGAAATCAAAGTTCCATAATATCCGATATTATTCTAAACAAATCTCCGCCACAGTCAGTTGTTCCTCATAAAACTAAAACATCGAAGGATATTACTGATGAAAGGGAAGTGACTGGAGCTCGAAAATCCGATAGTAAAAAATCTTTGGTAACTACATTTATTTCAAACGATAAATTACACATAACGCTGAGTGAGGATTCACTAATAGATGTTCAAGATATAGACATAAATATAGATCAAAAGAAATCTAAAGTAAAAGAACTTATAACTTGGAAAGGAAGAATTTCAAACAGCACAACAGATTTAAATAAAATCAATTACATAAGCACAAGAAAATCAAAATCCACATCAGCAATACAAGCTTTTGAGAAATTTAATATTTTAAATTACATTTATAGAGAGATAAATGCTCCTCACAAGTACATACTTCCTAAACAACAAGTGTATTATGTTGGATATTTCACAGTTGAGCAAAATAAAAGTGATAGTAAATCAGGAAGAGAATCACGCTCAGATAAAACAAACGACAGTCAAACCGATAAATCAGACGATGCTTACAGAACTACTATAAGCAATGTAAATGATAGTAGCTCAAGTAGCAGTTCAGAAAGCGTATGTATATTTAGCAAAGAAGCAGAACTTAACGTTACTCAATGCAAAAAGGTTGATTGTGAAAATAGAGTACATAGAGATGTGCATACACCCCCGGATCCGCAAGTCTTGTTGGACTTGGAAAATTTGAACAAGATATGTTGTGATAAAACAGAAAAAGTCGAGGAAGTTGTAGGAGGGCTTACTGCGAAGATGAAGCTCGGCAATGATCCTTGTTATTGTACATGTGAATGTACATTTAGTTATACAAAGAAAACCACTCTTTGTGGTATTTGTGGTGGTTATGAAAAACTTGGAGAAGAATATGACCATGCGCCGAAGCACACATTTCCTATGCCTTGTCCTGTTTATCACAAACTTATGGACAAAAATAAATTAAAAGCTTTAAGTACATCTGGAAGTGATACTAAAAAGAAAGAAGATTCGGGCCAAAAAAGTGTAAGAACTGGATCAAAATCTGGTACTTCGTCTGATAAACGGTCAATAGCAGAGAAAAAAAGTGAATCCGAAAAGGACAGAAAAAAACCAAAAAAAGAAAAGAAAGACGACAGGTTCAAATTTAATTACGGTTATAAAGGTATACGTATGTATTTAATGATATTAATTTGAAAATTAAGTTATTTTAAAACATTATTCTTTTTTTATATAAATTTCATCCCTTACAGCTCCTCAAATCGGACATATCCACTGTGCAATGCCTTGCACGGGGACATTGGGTCCGGTGCCGAGAAATATGGGCTGGTTATGGACTGCTGACAATGTGCCAGGACTAAAGGTACCTAGTTTTGTGTTTGTATTTCCTTTTTTTCTTTTTTTTATTATTTTCTTTATTTTTTTTTTCATTTTTTTTTAGTTCAATCCCCAATGGAAACCCGGAGCTATTCACAAGTTTGTATACAGACTGTTAAAATTAGCTAGGAATCCAGGGGACGTTATTGCTAAAAAGAGAAGAAAGGATACAGGCAAGAAGAAGCGTCCATTGAAGAGGCCATTATTAGTAGTTAGTAAGAAGAACGGAGAGTATACCGTCACTATGGAAACGATGAAAAATTATGCGAAACCTAGACAACTAAACCAACAACCGTATGAAGATAAACCAGTCATGACCTATGTCATTGGTAGAACTGAAGAAGAAAATCTAGCCAGGCAAAAGAAGAAAGAGAGGGAACAAAGACGTCTCGAAAGAGCTCAGCGTATGTTTATTCAAAGCGCATTTAAAGATATGTGTCAAGAAATTTGTCTAAAGACTTACCAACAAGCTTTAGGAATCCTCCCCGACGCCGAGGATCCAACGTGTACTTGTTACCCAGCGGAGCCGGGCCCCGACAAGACCAATGTGAATGTTTCCTGCTCGTGTTCAGAAGTGTCAGACTCATTCAATTCAGATACAGACTCTGATGAATGGATAATTGAATTCACACCTCCGAACGCCACATTTGACCCTACGTATAAGTGCAAGAAAGTAGCCAAATGTGACAAGCATACACAATATTCATATTTAGATTTCCGAGTGAAATTACTCGACCGCTTCGGTAACCCTGTACCAAGATTTTTCAAAGGCCCAGATGGTAAGCAGCAATGTAGTGATTTAGGTGGATTTTGGAGTCCCGATCATAAATGGTTAGAAATAAACGTAGATGGATATATTGGACCCGATGAGCGGTGGGCTCCCAACACCTTTATAGGGCCTCATGGCGAAACTGTGGACGGTGAAGCTGGAAAATTTCAGACGACTGATGGGCATTGGCTCGTTGTTGGAGTTGATGGTTACGTAGATTGCCAAGGGCAATGGCGTTGGTACACTAAGTCGAGAGGTAAAATGAGCCAAAAGAGGCCATTGATGATGAGCGAAATGAAAAATTATTTCAAATATAAAAAAGATCACAACATGTTGAGAAAATCACCATCATCTTGGAGTTGTTTCGTTGGTGTTAGCCCTTTACAATTGTCGGCAAGAGGAATAACCGGACACGGAGCGGATAGAAAATTACTCAGGAAAAAATTAGAGGACTTAATAAAGCAAGGCATAAAAGTGCAAACGCCGCCGACGACTTATGTTTTATCTAATACGAAAGTAGGCCCTAAGAAGAAGAAGACTCCCCTGACGTCCCTTTCGACAGGGAAATGCAAACATTCGCTTCCATCAGATAAAGGGGTTGAGGCAGTGGATGAATACGGAAACAAAACGTACTTTAGATTTAAACGGTCTAAAAACAAAAGACCTAAACAAAGAATGGACGATTTAGCGAAACATGGAATTAGTTTGAGCTCTTTTCATGTCCCTTGCTTTCATTCTTTTATCAATTCTGAAATAATAAAGCAACAGCAAAGGAAAAGATTTCAGACATTCTCTATAGTAAGACACGGTGAAACTCAGATGTAGCAAATGTTTATTATTTATTTAAGTAGTATTGTCTTTTCTATCTTATTTGTTTGTCTGGGTTTATTAACATGTTTTTGTGTCAACCTGTACATAAATATTGTAATTTGGTTTGTAAAATTGTAACGTCATTAACTATAAGAGAAAAATAAATATTTATTTTTTATTCATTTTTTTTATTTTCTCAACAAGTTTTCAGCAGTAAAATAGTAATAAGTAAGTGCAAATGCAAATTATTTATAAATAAAATCAATAGCTTATTAAAAGATTTGATTTTAATAGGTATCAAAAGGTTGGAAACCGGGAGCCATATCAAAACGATTGTTGAGAAAACTGAATAAAGCAAAGCTATCGAAATCAGTCGTAAAGGAGGTGAAACAGACGAAACGGACTAAAAAGCGAAAAGAGGAAAAGGCAACTTTAATTATAAGTAAAATAGATGGAGAGTACAAGATAGAAATGCAAGCAGTACCAGACCCAAATGAAGAATGCCCCGAACAATATACACCTTTGGTATATAAGATAGCGAATGCGAATAACGAAGACAGAAATAATAAGAAAGAAAGAATTAAAAGAAGGATATTAAGAAGAGCCGCAAAAGATATTAAAGATTCTTATAACCCTAAAGCATGTGACGAAATATGTTTGAATGCTTATAAATATGCAGTTGGAATATTAAAACCCGATGACTATTTTTCTGGTCTTAAAAAAGATATGGATAAAGGTGATATTTTAGACAGTTGCTCTTGCTCTGATGTCGAAATGTCAAGTTGCACCTCCTCCGAAGTAGATTGGGAGATTCACTTTTCACCACCCTTAAGCAGTCTTCGGTAAAATTGACTTTTAATTTTAATGATTGTTAATAAAAGAATTTTTAATGTCAACTGTGTTTATTTTTATCAAATAAATTATTTAACATATCCCATATGACTAGAGACAGTGTTGTATGGGGAGCTATTCTTAAGTAGAGTGGTCCTAGCCCTTTGTAGAGTCCGTGAAGGCCTTCTTTTGTGTAAATCTTCGTGAGGCAGTCGAGCACGCCATTATAGAGTCGCTCACCTGTTGATGCTGGACCTGGACAGAGATATTTTTACGTTAACCATATAACACTTCGTTTTTTTATTAATATTTTGGTTTACAAGATAGCGATAGATAGCGTAAATCTTGTCAAATGAAAAATTCAATATAGCAGATGAATTACTAAAAAATTATATTGCGATTAACAACTCTGTAAGCAAGAAGAATAAAAATAGAAAGCATTTTCATCGTTTAACACATATCATAGGTCATTAAAGTAAGACATAAAATCATAGAGTTAAAAAAGTGCCCACGTTTAAAACCAAATGGTGATATTATAATGAAAATATGTGAATTAATGGTTTGAGGAATTAGCGTTAGTAATAAAACTTGTTAGGAAATACGAATAGAAATTTTTAAAACGATTTATTTTATCAAAATTGAAAGTTAAGAAAATTTACGTTTAATAAAACAACTACAATAGTGACAAAAATAATTTTAAAAACACTAAAACGAAGTAGAAGCGACTAACTCTCTTTAGTACACCATGCCCATAGCAACAATTACGATGAGTTTCATCTGAGTATTGACATCCCTTTTATTGTCTTTGAAAAGAACAGAGAAAACAATAACGTTCGTAAACAGTTGCCACGACAATTATTATTTACGATTACACAAAGCTTTTACAAGATATCCCTTGAGACCAAAGCAAGCGTAACAGCATGGACCAATTACCCTGATTGTAAAGACGCGTATTGACAACATCCAGTGGAGTCTCAAGGAGGACACACAACACGCCCGACACAATGCTCGCCGCGAACGCAAGCTTCACTGGTGCATTCTCACAGTAACCCAACCCTAAGATATATTCTTTCAGTCTGCAAACGTAAAAACGTTGAACTTTAAACGTATGTTAATAACGGAAGAATTAAAGACTATTGGGATATGACCGTAATTTTGGCAGTGTCTTCCATATACTGGAGAATTATGACGAACTCCTTAATTACCCTTTTTATTGGTTCTCATAAAACGTCAAATTTTAGGCGTATCATCGCTTGATGAGGTTTTTCTTACAATTGGTTTGCAAACCAAAACCTCATCCTGACTAGTCTACGCAAAAGATTCAAGACAATGATTCCATCATTTACAACGGCACCGAAAGTGTAAGCGACTAATTCCTAATCTATTTGAAATAATTATAAGTTAATATTTAATCATATTGATTTATTTACGATTAACATTTTGAGGTTAAGTCTTCATGCAGTTCATGAAAAATTCCGACACCAATGCTTTGCTGCTTCAGAGCAAACAGGACAAATGTATGGATACTCGGTGAGGAGTATAGCGAATGATGTCGTAGTTCTTCATACCCTGATTGTACAGACGAACAGCTGCCACGTCAAAGGGACATATAGCCACGGCCACCATGACGCCGCTGAGCGCACTCGCGGAAAACGCCAGTCCGAGTGACGACCGCTCGAATATATTATGAGATTGTAAAACTTCTTTGGCGCTGTAGACATAAAGTATTGTCTTCAAAAACTATGAAATACATGTATTACACATTCAAGTAAATGTGCAATTCTGTTAAGAAGATTACGAATTTAAAAATTAATCCGAGGTCTTTCTGTCACCAAGATTGACAAATGATTTTGATCATCATGTAAGCAATATGGTCACTTTTTAAATCAGGTATTTTTTAAAATTATCAAGTAAGATAACGTACGTGGAAAATGTCGTGAGCTGTGCTGCGCTGCCGACTGCCAGCCTTGCACAGGTCGCGTTCACACCAGCGAAGAAACCAGCTAAACCCTCGCTCTTATAGATTGTGATGAAACCATCAAACATACCTGAAATGTTACAAAGGAATTAAATACATTCGTTCTAAGAGTGCAAAGTAATAGTGGTACTTACTACTGCTTACTTGCCGAGTTTACTGGTGAAGTACCAGGACGTCATAGATTAAAGGCGTATAGTATAACCAAGTCCCACTTGATTGTCTCTTTTCTTTTAATTCATTACCAATTTCTAACATCCCAGTATATTACAACTGATTAGTTGGTTGATTATCATACGACCTGTGTCTCTTCGACTTTAAATATGCTAATCTTACGGGTAAAATAAGTGGTAAGTTACCCTTGTACCGGTATTGTCGTCCAACAGCGATACTGGGATGCGCGGCTGCTTGGATCCTAGTCTTGACCACAGAGACTGGGTTTGCGGCGAGACCGCTCATCACGCCACTCGCGCTAGACCAGAACATGGTCTTGTTAATACTGATCTCGCCGTCCTTACACTTTGTCCAACCTTGCACCTCAGCTATATGGTACATTCCTAATCTGAAAATGAATACAATAAGGATTGAATAATTTGTACCAGTAACCGTTGCGCGTCGGAGTCCTAATTTTAGTCCTCTTTCCCTTACCACTCTTTTCTTATGAGAAGGGGTAGTGGATTAGACGGTTGACGGGACTGAAGAAAGCGAATATTTCCCCTTCCTTTGCGTCTCCTCTTCCGTCAATTAAAGGTAGGCAACGCATCTGCAATTGCGGATGTCTATGGGCATCGGTGGCTTCGCCATTTCAAATTCAGGTGGCCGCTGGCTCGTTTACCACCTTATAATATATTTTTTTTAAAAATAGTTAATACACTTACCTAACAGAATTCATAGTGAATCCCAGTAGCATAGCGGGGGCGAGGCCCTTTTGCAGCGCGAGTATACCATCATTCTTCCCAATGACGTAGAGGGCGTGTAATATACCGCGGTACCGCGCCGTATGCTCGTGCCTCGCCCGCAGCTCGCCTTGCAGCTGGAATCTGGTCTTTACAACGTCCATGGGGTTGGTGAATATGGTCGCCCCAGCACCCGCCAGGCCACCAATCACGAAGTCCATTACGATTTAGAAATCTCTCTGAAATCGTTACATTTTAATAAAGATTTACTTTTTATGTTTATTTAAAGAGTTCTATTTTAATTGCCCTATAATTACCCCATTTTTGTTCAAATTGACGAATAAATCGTTCTGTAAATATGTTACATTAATTTTTGTCCCTGAACAGTAATTATTAGGCAGTTTTTTATCGCGTTTCTTATCTAAGATATAATTATATCTTAACATTTTAAGATGTGTAACGACGCCTCTACATTTAAATTGTTATATCGTTATAGGTATACAATAGTTTAAAGTAAGTTAAAAATTCAAGGTAATTTTTTTATTTTTTATAAAGAAAGAAGTCAATGAACTAAATTCGCTTTCCATTTAGATTCAAATACCGGACGATGCCAGACTGAACTTTTCTTGTTCAAATTAATGAAATACTGAAGAAGGGCGGCATCAAGATCACCCAAAACCAATGAATGTAGAAGAAGCAAGAGGTGAATCAAGACTGTACCAATAGGTCCGTGGTCACTGCTTACCTCGCTGGGTTACGGGTATGAATTATGTTTGTTGTTTTAAATGGATAGGAAATAAACATCGTCGACTGTACCTAGTATCGTTCGTTTGTTTACGCAGCGTAAAAATAAATTTGGAACGATTTATAGTTTCTTTTGCTTCTTAATTATAGAACATGTTTTGGTTCAATTTTAGTTCTTGTTTACAATTTATATTTCCATATTGATACTTTGATTACTTGATTTTTTGGTATTATTAAATGATACTAAAACTAGGCGTGTTACATAAGAATAGCAAAAGTGGCGACCGTGAAATAATAATCTACTACTCGTCAAGGTAAACTAATTTTGTCCTTATGTCAATAACGCAATGATACGGAAGCAATATTACTACGCATTTTTATATCTATAATAACTTTAATTTTTAATATTGAAGAATTTCACGGCCTGAATACATATATAAAAACATATATACTTCGTAAAATATCTATTATCCAATAGAGATATTTCAACATAACTGAAATTGATTATATGATTAAAAGTAATTTTTCTAATTTAATAACAGCAACATAACCTAAATTTTACACTGTTTATTTTATATGTAAACTTCTTAAGTCGGGAAAATGATCAAAATAATTCTATCTATTTAACTTACCATTAAAATGTATTGAACAACACTTACAAAACAAAACTTCCTAAAATAATATTTTTTATATCACGAAATGCTTTACCACACTTTTATGCACATATAAAATAAGTATTTGTTTTAATTATTTGAGATTCTAATGTAATTTAGTGCGAATGAACGACACACTTCATCGACACCGAATACACTACTAGAATACCGGTCTGGTGACCGCCTATCTGTGACGTTTGCAGATGACTTGTTGCTTGTTGCGTATTTCGGACGGCATTATGCGAGAACTAATTTTCTTTAATATATTTCATGATCGCTTGGCAACAAAATATTTTATATAGTTATTAGAACTGAGATGATAGACAGATGTTACAAATGATAAGAACTTTGTGTCAATGTGGCAGAATACTTTTTCGAAGGTCACTTTGAGTCATGGCGCACACTGGGCAAATATTCGGCTTTTATAGATATTTTCTTCTGATATTATTGAATGACAATTTTACTTAAATGTGCTTGAATACATTCAATACATGGGTTTAATTGTAAAATTTATTGCATATCGATGATTACGGGGCTATTAGAATATTATCTCTGAATTGCTTTGTTATACTTACTCTTTAACGCATAAACATATTCTTGTGTAAACCGACCACGTGTTTTGGCAAGGTAAGCAAAACAACCATTCAGCAATCGGAAACTCCGAACGTATCCAATACAGATTAAACTTTGAACTTTGAATCCATATACATACCAACAGGATAAAGTTTAAAGACATAATTTAATCTAGTCTATCAAAGGCGAGAGTGTGGCTAGGTTTAGTTTGTCTCGAATTCTCCGGATTCTTTTTTCGAACTATTTTATTGAAAGCCTAGCTGTTGCCGCGGTTTCTTTCGCGCGGAATAAAAAACTCAATAAGTAGCCGATATTTGAAGAACTTATGTTCTATAATACAACAGTTAACAGCATAAACATTTAAATGAGACTATTAATCAACATAGGAGTAGCGATGGAACATGCCCAATTAAATAAATGTATAACCATAAATTTAAGAAGTGTATTTCCCAAAATAATACTGATTTACAATATAGGTATTTACGTGTTCTACGTCGCTTTGTTATTTTATTTTCCATTTTGTTATATTTATTGCCTTGCCCTTCAAATATAACCTTACAATGAATGAAAGTTATTGAGTCACCTACAAATAAGCATCGGTTACTAAGAACTAAGCAAAAGTAAGCTTTTACTTTACTACCAATGGTTAGTCTTTTAAAATGATATACGTATAGAACATAATAACGCTAAACTTTACTCAGCTGTGCCTTTCTTAAGACACCCCGATGACCTAACGAAGATTATCCAAGGTTGTCATCTTACTCATTTTAGTAATCATAAATGCGAAAGTTTAGATAGATGGATGTTTGTTAGAAGGTATCTCCAAAACGGCAACGGCTGAAATTTGGCAAAGATGTAGAACATAATCTAGAAGAACACATAGGCTATAATTATTTTTGATTCCGTGCGGACGGTGCCGCAGTCGACAACTAGTTGTAAATGTAGTCAATAGTTTGGGCTCGTCAGTGACAAATTTCTGCTGTCGAAGGTCATTGCGATCGATGAACTGCGTAATAACAGTAATTTACCCCTACTACAAACTACTCGCACTGTACTTTTATCGTAATCGATGAACAAAAGGAAATTATTACTGTGAATGAGTGGATTTCAACTTTGGAAACACGTGGATAAGAACGCTATCGTTATCTCTTTGTTCTTCAGAGATTAAAAGAGATGACGAGATTGTTGTAACACTGTATACGATCATCATCAGCTCACTATACGGTCCCACTGAGAGACTCGGACCCTAACTGAAGTCAGTGGTGACTAGGCCATAGTCAACCACGCTGGTCCAGTGCGGGTTGGTTCACTTCACACATATGTGTGATACTTAAATTCCTCCAGACAGATATGTGCATGTAACATCACAATGTTTTCATTCACCGTAAGAGTATACGGTAGAAAAATGTATTGTACATTTGTAAATCGAAAAACACAATGGTACATGTCGAGATTCGAACCTAGGACCTACGGATTGGATTACAAGTGCTTAACCCTTAAGTTACCGAAGATCTCACGTACACAGTACCAACGGAAAACACATTAAAAACACATGTGCCTTGGCAATTACGAATAATCGATGTTTTTGTAAGTTTTCGAGCTATTACGATGATATAATCGATTCTAACACATTCATCAATTTTATGTGTTTTTATCAACGTGCATCGCAATTGTAAGCGTTGGTCGAATAGAAGTAATATGCATATAAATAACTAATAAACCTTATGTATGAAGTCAAGGTGACTGTAACCCGTGGTGTATGACAGGTTTTTATTATTTACTTTCTATTTTTCATGTCATCTAATGCCGTCGATATTTTGTTGGAGAATAAGATAGATGGGAGAAGGAAATATAAGACGCAGGTATCCCCCCTCCCCCTATCTCCTAGATAATAGAAATAAGACGACGTAACGAATAAGAGCATATTACTTATAACTGTAGACCTAGTCTAAATCATCTCCCAATGGTAGTGTTCATTTTATGTATTTTACCGATTACCGTTGACTCAAAGTTTCCTAAAAAATTAATTATTATTTTTTTGCTTCAGTGATATACCATAAATATTTATTAATTTGATAATATTTATTTTTATTGTATTATAGAAACTTGAAATTGAATGACAACATGATGTTGACATATTGAATGTTATAGAGATAGATTTTTAATTCAAAACTTTCTGATATAAATTATTCAAATAGTTACTGGCTGATAAAATGTTTCATCATTTAACAAGACAAATATTGACGTCCATTTTTGATTATTGAATTAATTACTCATTTAATTAAATTGATATTTTATCAAATCTCGGTGCGCGATATTATCTTGTATCACGTCGTCACGCGTCGATACGGCACGGGGAACGTCCAGTTGTCCGTTACCTCGTCACGCGCGTGGCCTGCTCGATAGCAGAGTTGTGTACAGAGGGGTGAGGACGCCTCCGCCGCCCAAGGTCGCACAGGGTGCGGGCGCCCGCCCCCGCCCCATGCCGCGGTCACTCGTCGGACTAGAGCCGCAGAAGGCGCGCGCCCTAACCACCATCTATGCGCCGCGAAAACAGAAGTCAAAGAAAAACAAAACAGCACAGAACAGAATGCTCGACAGCAACTTGCCGGTGAAAACTATACCCCCCTTTCATCCCCTCCCCGCCATCACACAGAAGTCACCACCGAAAGCTAAAGTGATTCTCTTCGATATAAACACCGAAAATACAATTGAAAACCAAGCGTTGAAATTACAAGAAGTTTTAAAGCCCTTAACACCGTTAAGCATACACGGATTTAAACGGAAGAATTCTTCGGATCGGTTTGAGAGAAAACATCGGCTGTTAAGAGAGAATACTTACGATGTGATTGAACCTATTTATCTTAACGCGACGAAGAAGGAAGACGATGGAAAGAGCAGTTTAAAGTCGAAGGATTCGGAGCAAGTGAAGATGTCACCGAAATCAAGGTTTAAGAAGGCGGCTATGCATGTTGCGAAGCTTACCTCTATGCCGGAGACTGGAAAACTGTTATGTATGCGGGAAAGAGAAAAGTTTACAGTAAATTTCGATGAAGATAAGTCGTTCAAATTGCAGGAGCTGCCGCACAGTCCTGCGCAGAAAATTAACAAGCTCTCAGAAATATTTCAATGTTTGGAAATGAAGGGTCGGCACAGAGATAGAATGAAAAAAGAGAATAGTTGGTTTTAACTTACGATTATGGAAAACATGATGATGAGAAGCGGAATAAAAAGTATAGAAAAGTTACGAAAAATATTAAATTTAAGTGTTAACTATAATATAAAGATTTATATCTTATTGCTCAAAGTTTTTGTGTGTTTTGTTGTGTACACAATAAATGTGAGTTATTTTTTAAATAATCCGTATTTTAATCGATATTATTTTGTACATTAACTCTTGTAATCAATTTGCCATGGAGTTGCATTTATTACAAAATAGCTTTGTTATTCGTGAAACGTAATGTGACCACAATTACTCCGACATTAGGGAAAGAATTCGGTTTATTTTCTTATATTTGTCAATACGTGATAGAATTAATTATGAATTTACGGTATTAGTCACAAAGGGGTACAAAGAAGTTCTGTTAGTATGGGTATTAACACAAGTAAATTGTGGGAAAGAATGTGTGTTACAAATTAATGAGTAACGCCTTGACCTTGCGGTCGCCAACAGGTGGCGCTCGCATGCTCGGCACCGCAAAGGTCAAGTCGAAGGAGCTGTAAGTATGATGAATGCTAATCAAGCTATTGATTGTAACGCATATTTTCAAAGCATATCCAAGAACTTAGTTATAAAAACATTCTTAATAGAAATGTCTACTTAAAAAAAAGGTTACCCAAATAATGCTGGCGGGAAAAAACGACCTATTACTCACCGAAGACAAAGATCTACGCATTACCGTTAAGGTAAGAAAGTGTACCCAGACATTACTGTTGATGATTTTAGTTTTGGGTCGTATCTAGTCAATAAAAAGGAATGGTTAAAACAAGGTAATTTGTATTTAACAAATTACAACGTTTTCAGTCTCAGGGCTGGAGTAGAGTGTACGTTTTTAAAATAAACAAAAGTCTGGAGGTTAATAGGAACTGCGATGCCGATAAAACACGTTTCTAGTTTTTAGTACAGCATCTTGAAAATAAGGCTAGTTTAATCTAATAGGAAAGCTTTGTAGCCCGACTTTTCCTCACTGAATAACTTGTTCATGTACAAACATGTTTTCTTTTCTTTTTTCGACGTGCATGAGAGGATTTTTATAGAGGTGTTTGAGCAATGCAATGCAACCTAATACATATAAATCAGGTCTATTGTGAAGTCGATGCACTGGACACATTTAAATCGGGCCATAAAACATACAGAAGACAGGCGTGAAGTGGAAGTAATTACGCGTTTCGTCTGATAGGTATGTGTGTGTGTCGGTGGCCTTATTTTGTGGATTTAAAGGACGTTCCCTGCATAAGAAGGAGAAATATTCTTTCTCTATATTCGTTGATTAAAAGTAGGTAACACATCTGCAATTGCTGATATCTATGGGCAGAGGACACTGCTATTTCGACGAATTCAGTTGGCCGAATCGTTTGTCAACTTATTACATAAAAATGATAGTTCTTTAAATTCTAACGTAGAAATATTTTCAAAATAAAATATTTTCAGTGTTATTTTAATTTTATAGCAATTTAATTGCATCAAACAGCGCCGCGTCGGCCCCAGCCATCGCACAACTTGCACGCTACCCCGTAATGCACGCCCGAACTCTTTGCACGACCTAGTTCTACGTATCTACGTCGTTTTATATGTGCAACAAAAATTATATAAAACACAAGTATTTTGTTGAAAATGAAATATAAAAAAAACAATCGAATCATTCATCATCATTATGACATACTAACGGTTGCCTGCGACTCCGTCCACGCGGAATTAAAAACAAAACATAGTAGCCTGTGTTAATTCAGATATGTTCTATATGTATACCTATTTTCATCAAAATCCATTCAGCCGTTCTGGAGATACCTTCAAACAAGCATCCATCTAAACCAGTCTTTCTCAAAGTGGGCGATAACGCCCCCTTGTGGGCGCTGCAGGTCTCAAGTTGCGGGTTATAGTAAAAGTTTCGTTTAGAATTCTCCGTTAATATACATATATAGGTCACAATAATTAATTTAATTTGAAGTTATAGTGGTTTTTAAAAATGTGAAAATATGGGGGGCGCTAAAAAATATTTATTCTCAAAGTGGGCAGTAGACAAAATAAGTTTGGGAACCACTGATCTAAACATATGCATTTATAATTAAGATAGTATGATTAACTTTTGTTAACTTGTTCGGTTTTGTAAAATTATAAATCAAGATAATAACAAAATAATGTGGTATCGTAAACCAAATGTATATAATTCAAAAATTCTTTATTTACACGTTACAATCTTATTATAATTATTTCTACTTCATATTAATTTAAATATTATATAGCAGATAAAATGCTGGAAGGTGGATTATTCTGAACCTTAGCAATTTCCTCTTTAAATTTGGTGATAGTCTCCTTTGCTAAATGTAGCTTTTCCTTCAAATCAGAAATCTCATTTCGAACTTTTGCTTGTGCTGCGATTATCCTTTCTAATGTCTTCTCCTTCTTTTCTTCAACTAAAAAAGGTTTAGATAAACTCTGAGATTTTTTTCAACAGAAAAGTAATTGCCACATTCAATGTCACTTAACACTTTAAATGCTATGAATTTAATGTGTTAAATTGAAATTGGACGGTAACTTGGTGACATCGAACATATAAATAATTGCTTAATGAGGAATGTAGCAGTATCCAAGGGTTTTTGACATCAAAATCTCTGTATATTATCACCTCCATCTTTTATATTTGAAAAAGCAGATAACAATTTTTTTTAAATAATTTTTGGTCTCAGAAACCCACAGTAAATGGCTTAATACAATGTGAAACAATGGCAATTATTTTCACCAAGATTACATGCTTTCAAATTGTTATATTAATATGATTTTTTGATAAATTAACATGCTAATAAACTTGTTATAAATATTTGAAAAAAAAAATGTTTAGTGTAATACTTACAGTTAGTGTCATGAACCCAGGGACCATTGGTGATAGGCTTGACACTGTAAAGCATGTGCTGCATGAGCAATGTTGGCTCCTGGAACACTATCTCCTCGTAGGACTCACTGACTAATGCACGGCCCACCGTTGGTGGTGCACTTTCATTTACAGGTGATTGGAATAGCTTGAGAATATGGTAGAGAGTGACCTGAAACAAGCATTGTACAGTCACAACTGGATAAATAAGAAACCTCTATAAGCGAGAGACATAGACTAGTCCCATGGGACAACTTTCAAAATCTTGTATGTGAAAGAAGCCTCTATGGGTTAGAAAAATATTGCTGTCACTTAGACTCCACTATGTTTGCTTTATTTTTTATCATATTTCCATTTTTTGTCATTAACTTCATTATGTGACAAGAGAATCTTAAATTTAAATTTTGAAATTGTCTTCTAGTTATTATAATAAAACAGCACTTTCCAAGCAGTAGTTTAAATGAGAGATTTACCCTTGTAATATTAATAACAATGATGATAGTTACTTACAGGTCTCTCATTGGGATCATGAAAATATATTTTAATAACAATCTCAAATTCACCCCAACCAGTTTCGGTAAGCTCGTACGGCGGTTTTGTAACTATTCTATTTGGATTCGCATAACTTTCATGTAGTTTGAAATGTATTTTCTTTATATATACTGACATATCTTCGTTAGCGTATGGTTTGACGTACACAGTCCACTGATGTGTGTGACCGTCTTCTTCCCGCTTTTTACCAAAGTACCTAGCTATATTACCATATACGATGGGCTTTACTATGACTAAACCCTGGAAAAATAACATTAAATAATTAGTTTTATTACATTATCTTGCATCTTTGGAGCTAAAAACCCGGCTTCAGACGAGTTTGATGTTTAAGGTTGGATTTAGTTACCTTTACTCTTCCCCCTGAATCAGGACCGTAATCTGTTTGACCAGACATTTGTAAACTTGATGAATACTTTTGATTTTTAGTCAAAGCGATGGGTTTTCTCTATTTTAATTTGTTTGTAAACAAATTATACGGACTAATATCACGTCAAAGTTGCACTGACATTGACAGTGACGTTGACAGTTTCAAGAAAAACATGCATATTGTTTTCCAGCAACGACTACACGGTTTTTGCCACCATTTCACTTTCTCAGTTGAAAATTCATCGCTTTTAAAAAAGATATAAATTAATAAACACAACACAGTTATTAAAAAAGCTTTTATTAATAGACGACTCAAAGAATTACGTTTTAAGTGTGCTTTTCCCGCATATGGTCACAGTTAGGCGCATTTGAAAAAAAAGGTCAATAGTTTTCTTACACATACATTTATTATCTTATAATGCATGTGAACAATGGTCCAACAAGCTCATTTCTTACATCTAAACATAATATTTGATTAACATTTAACTAGCTAAGTTGCGGCAATCGTATTAGAATGAGCATGGATAATAAAGTTATTATATTTTTAAAAATAAGAATCTTGTGGCTCAATGCTGGGGTTCGGCAAAATAGGCCCTTTACACTGAAAAATATAATTACAACTATTTGATGATAGGATCACATTGTGGCTTGGCTGGGTTTGGTATTTCAAATAGCGATGAGTTTTTACTTAAAATTTATGATCAGTTCGCGGGTTTTCAACGTCCGCCAGTAATGGATCATTTTCTTCTTCGAGTCGCGACGATCGCGAGCTGTGTCTCGAAGCTGACACCCTTTGTGTAAATATGAGTATGTTAGGTACAAGTGCACCGCACGGAGTCGCCGGAGCGGATCGCGAAGACACCCGTGTCCCCGGAGACACTCTAGATTGTCTTCCAGGATGTGCTAGCGACAGCGGCATATATAAACTAGATTTTCGCGCTTTTAGTGTTTTTCTGACATTATCCAGTCTTCTTGTACGTCTGTCCACCCTCTCTTCGCTCGGTCTTCTTAGAGTCGATTCCCTTGACGTTTGAGTGGGGCTAGTTGGCTGTGGGGGAGATTCGCAGGCACCTGCATTCTCTTGAGAAGGGCAAGAAAAGAGATGTCGTAGTCCGTATGCCTCTTGATCGTAAACGGCGTCGTTGACGTTGGAGTGAGAGCGATGCGCCGGAGGGGAGGTTCCCAGTCGCGGCTTGCAACCACCATCGCAGTACATCTCACAGTCGATTAATTCAAGCTCAAGATCGAAAGCCGCATCCTTAAAAGTTAAAAACATTATTTACTTATAGTAACGCCAAATACTGGATATTTTCACCCAAATCTCATGGATTTATACTGAAAGGTAATAGTGGCAATTACCATTGGCTGTACGGGCGATGTGATGAGGTTCTCCCTGAAGGCGGCGGCCTGTTCGCGGCGCTCGGGCCGGCGCTCCGCCCCGCGCGCGCTGCCCACACCCCCCACACCCCCTACACACTCATCGTAGCTGCTCGCGCATGAGTACGGCGGCGGTATTATAGAATTAGCCTGTAAGATGTCAGTAGATCAAACAAATTTATAAAGCGTACTAAGACTAGTCAGTTGAATTGTAAAACAGATAAAGTTTGTACCTCATTTGCGGCATTACAAATGAAACTTGAGTTGAGAGATTCTGCAGTACTTGTGGCCGACAAGGAACCTAAATAATAACAGGAAATAAGGTAAATTTTCTTGGTTCTACTAAAAGTATACTAGTAGTATTACTTTTATAACTTTAATAACGTACCAGGAGCACGGATAACATAATTCCTGAAGTAGTGTACCATAAGGTAGTTCCCGCCGGTGCCATTCTTGGCGTCGCCCTCCGCGCACGTGATTACAAGCGGATACAAATCCGGCTTCGACGTTACCTAAAACAAAGTTGAATTTGGAAGAAACTTCATATTTAAACAATGAAAAGATTATTTATAGCAAACATACTTCAGAATAAGGTGGTGGTGCCTGATGGAAAGAGCTACAGCGGCTGTATCTGGGCGGTGGGTAGACGGAGCCGGCAGAGTCGTGTTCTGACGTTCGCCGGCGCACGCAGCACCACAAAGACAACATGTACACGCCGTGCGGCCGCCGGAAGAACAGGCACCAGCTGCAGCACATCAGAATACCCACCAAGCACCCCAGCAGGAAAAGAACTTGCCTGCAAATTAAATGAGTCCTGTTTGATTACGATAGCAAGAATTTGCAATAATTTTGAAAAGTCTTTACGACTTTACCGACTTTCTTGTTAACGACTTTAACGAGTCAAATAAAAACGATGCTGTTGCTGAGATTGTGTTGACCGTAGAATTCAAAATCTTCAGTCGAAAAATTGCTCGTAACTTTAAAGCTATGAGACTCGCTTTTTGATCAAATAATTTTATTGTATTTACAAATTCATATTGTATATTTTGTAGATTGACATGTACCATTGAGTATACCATGGGAAGGTGAATATTTCCTTGAATGCCTCGTCATCATGTTGGTCGGGGTCGTGGCGCTGCGGCGCTGTGGCTGGCGTGCAGCAGCCCTGCTCGCAGCATAGCCACGGCGGCGGGCACAGTCGCCCGTCCTCGCACGATGCAGCATACTGATAAACAATTATTTATTACTCATATTTTGCAACTCAAAATGATCTTACGAATATTTCAAAAATTATTCAATATCTTGTTAGTAGCATGATATTATCCTATGACCGCTTTTTTAATGATATAAAGATACTAAAAATAGGGCCTAAAACGCCGGTTCTGATCTTTCGGTTCGGATCTTTAACCTAGAAGCAAACAGTAACCGCAACTGACCTAATTATGAAAATGCGTTGTTTTTCTTAACCAGGGTTTTTTCCAAGACAAAAATTAATTTGTTTCATTCATAATTTTGAAGATTATTCTCATATTTAGCTGTAAATATGGAAGATCATACAAGAATTTAGAAGATAGCCAGTGAATGAAGTAAACATTCCAGTTTTCACTGGTAAAGGCGAGGAGAGGAATGCACGGCGCATGTTTCTCTTTCAATCGATATCTCTGTCAAAATGAACACTGGCTATGTGTTTGTGGTATTATTTTTATCGAATATTTTATGAATCTTGTAGCTCAAATGAAATGATTATTTTTTAGATGTATTTATTATGAAAAATGATAAAATAACTTAAAAAATCATTAATAATGATTGTTTTTATGTCGATTATACATCGATTTATTTGAAAATATTTCATAATCAATTAATTATATACATTTTAACAATCCATTATGACTTATTTACCAATTTTATGACTCGGAACCGTAGCTTATAAAAATTGTTTAAAAAAAAATAATGGACATCATAGATTTAGGCTTAATAAATATTTAAAAACTTACAGCCGTATTATTATAAATGATCCCAACTAATGTCACAATAAGAACAGCGAAAACCATTGTTATTATCACTAGAAGCGTCGGCCCCGACATTTGTTCAGCTCACATGTTTTAACATTAAATTATATTCGCAAAGTGCACAGCACTCTGCTATACTTAATATAATAATTCACGAATATTTTACTTTGTTTAAATCATCCCCGTAAAACACTACCGCCCGTCAGGGCAGCGCGGGCGGGACTGAAGATCATTGAAGACTGAAATTCTGTAGAGAATGGATGAGCCAAACCAAAATAACCTAACCAATGTAAATTGACCTCTCTCACCTCACATATCGCACCCTTGTTTGTGTCCATTTGGTATAATAAAGTAATAGAAGGCTCTTACAAAGGCGATGCTTTTAATTAAATCTATATTTAGCTCATAATCAATATTTCAATAAATAAGTTGTTTCGCAGAAAAAAATACACGTTGCGTCCTTGTCACGTTTCATTTTTATTTGTTTTATTAACGTACAGCATTTGGTTGTAAATGTATGTTTTTCTCTGAGTTTCATTTAGCATTTTACCAATTTTTGGTGCTTTCATTTAAAATGGAATAGCCGCTCTTTGCAAAAGCGTCCCTTTTAAAAATCTTCATTAGATACTACAAAAATAAGAGGCGAAGGGGGCGGGAAAAAAGGAAAAAAATACATTGAAAGAATAGAAAAATGCCTTTAATAGAGTAGTAAGACGTTAAGTTAGTGTACAAAACTGTTACATACATAAGTGACATTGGGAATATTTCCAAGTAGGGTAAAAGAATAAGCGGCGCCATGCCTCCTTGTTACTATGCGGCATGTGGAGCATTATTACGTTATTGAATTTTTTTTAATAGGATTACCAAAAGAAATAATTTTTTGTAAATGTTCATCCAACAGGCGCTTTTAGCTATAGCTATGAAGTATAAGCATATCCATGATTATTAGTAAGAAGTAAAGGGAATCAGTTGGATTTGTTGTAGACTTCATAAGTACTTAACTAATATGAAAAAAAAATCACTGTTGGGAAGCTATACCATTACCATTATATACCATTACCATATACCATTTTGACATAGAATATATTTCCTACTAGATTTTTTAATTTCTGGGAGGACAAAGTCGAGGGTAACTGCTAGTCTTTTATAAATTAAGAAATATTCCCAGATGGCGTTGGAATCGCCAGAAAGCTGTCCTGTCTTTTGGATTTGAGGAAAGAAAATCAAACCGTTAAGATATTTTGGGTTGGCAGATTTGCTCTTATTATAAAATTATATTTAATTCTCTATAATTTTAATTTCGTTACCTTGGTCGATTTTTGATTCTGATTAAAAAATACACACAGATGACGATGACATTGACATTTGACGTATTTGTGACAGTTGGCAGACAACAGTCATACGTGAATCAAAATTTAGTTTTTAAAGAAAGAATTGTTAATACATTTTAAAATATTATGTGATAATAATTGATAGAATAAATATGAGATTTGTTATTCTCGTCTTTTTGGCCTATGCTGCAAGCGCAGCGGCTTGGGATGATGATGATTTTGAAGTATTTGACGTGGTTGAAGAAGTAAACCAAAATTTTTATGAATTATTAGGAGTAACACAGGTAAAGTTGCACTTTAAATTAATCTTAATATATTATCATTATAATTATTCATGCTATGCATGTTTTTACTTCACCTAAACTGGCAGAAACTTGTAAATGTATCCTATAATTTTTTTTTGTTAAATGCATGATTTTTTAAGTTTCTGACTGGAATGTTATATTATTTTTAATCAGATACTATTTAGTTTCCTTCTGTAAACATACTATATTAAAATTATGTTCTATTTATAAATTAATTTAATACAGATGAGGTGATTTTTTGTTTTTAGGAAGCCTCGCAGCAAGAGATTAAAAGTGCATTTAAAAAGCTTACTCTGAAGCTACATCCGGACAAGAATAGTGCACCAGATGCTGATGTTCAGTTCAGGAACTTAGTTTCAGTGCATAATATACTAAAGGATCCAGGGAAAAGAGAAAAGTATTTTATCCTTTACTTTTTTAAACTCAATAATGTTTGAAATACACTGAGGGATAACTCTGAAATTATATTGTGTCAATGATTGATAAAGACTCACTGCTTACTAATATACAAATGTGAATGTTTAGATGGATGGATGAATGGATGTTTAGAAGGTATATCTGGAATGGCTCAACTGATCCAGATGAAATTTGGCATAGATGTAGAAAATAGTATGAAAGAACTCATAGGCTACTCATTAAGTTTCTTTTTAATTTGTGCGGATGAACTTGCGGGCAACAACTAATGTTTCTATCATTTTAATGGTAATTTTTGTCTATCCAGGTATAATGAAGTGCTGAAAAATGGTCTTCCCAATTGGCGATCCGCTGTATATTATTATCGACATGTAAGAAAAATGGGCTTAGCCGAAGGATCTGTGATTTTATTTATTATTATTACATTTGGACAGTATGCTGTTGGGTGGGCAGCGTACGTTGAGAAGAAATTTACAGCTGTAAGTAATTCATAAAAATTGTAATATAAATGGTGAATAATTAAATAAAAACCTTGTAAAAGGTGTTTTAAATTAATTTATGATAGAAATATTCAAGAGAATAATAAGATAATAAATTGTAAACAATTACAGGAGCAAATATTAAATAGCAGAGGCAGGAAACTAAAAAAAAGTGGTTTTGACACTGGCTTGGCGGAAATATTAGAGAAATTACCAAAGCCAAGTATAAAGGACACACTGCCGTTCCAAATACCAAGGTTCCTCTGGTGGATGGTGACAGCTGTGCCAAGAGCAATCATGGAGCTGAAGAGACAAATGAAGGAGAGAGAAGAGGAAGCTAAAAGACAGAAAAAGAAGTATGTATAAAAAGAGGGAATGACTTTTTATTCTTACCGAGGTTTACATGGGAAAGAATTTAGCAGGGGAGAGTGTACAGATGTGAAGTAATTCTCTTTCTATGTATCCCTTCCTCTGTCTGTTGTAGACAACTAATCTCAATTAATTTAGTAAAATGTGGGAAGGGAAACAGTACTAAAATTAGGCCTCTGGGACAGACACTCATCGGACAGTATGCAGAATTGCTTCCACTTGACGCCTGTCTTCTGTGTGGTCGAGGTATTTGACCGGGCAAGCCGGGCCAAGTCGTGCGAAGATGTTAATGCTCAGGTTGCTTGCTTAAGTTAGTCAGTAATTGTCAGTGTGTAGGTGAGTGTATGGTGCGTGGTGTGTGGTGTAGGGAGGAGGAGGAGCGTGTGCGTGCGGAGCGCGATGCGGCGGCGGCGGAGGCGCGCGCGGCGAGTGGTGCGGGGGGTGGTGCGGGGGGTGCGCGGCGGCGGCGGGGCTTCGTGCCGCCGGAGCGGGAGGCCTGTCTGCTGGACGCGGCTGACGAGCCTCACCACACCGCCCCCACAGTGCAGCCTGCTAAAACTGTAATTATATATTCATATTTATATTAATATGTTAATTATATGAAGCGTAAACACACACTCCTTTGTAACACACAATCTTAGTAATCTCAGCGTGCTTTAGAAGTATTGAATGCCTTTTTATTGTAGCTTTCAAATCGAAAGAAATATGTATGGTCAGTAAAACAAGCATTTTCAAACATAATATTTATAATGACAGCAATCTGTGAGGTGCAAATTGTTATTAAAAACTTGTTCTTGTTAGACGCCGCCGGTGATAACTGGTGGTCTGTGGACGGACGAGGACCTGGCGGAGCTGGTGCGGCTGGTAAAGAAGTACCCGGGGGGCACTCCGGAGCGGTGGGAGCGCATCGCCACCGCCATGGGCCGCGGCGTGCCCGAGGTGACACACGTCGCCGCGCGACTCAAGGACAACTGCTACAAGATACCAGGACAGGAACCCCCTGAGGAAACTGTCATTGAACCCCCCAAGAAGGTACGACAAATGCTCTAATTAGCTGTAAACCTAATGATGAAATGATTTTGAAATCTTATTAATATTATAAATGCGAATGTTTAGATGTTTGTTAGAAGATATCTCCAGAAGAACTTTATGGATCTCGCTAAATTTTGGCACTGTAGTGTAATATAATCTTGAAGAACGCATAGGCTACTAATTAAGTTTTTTTTTTAATTTAGCACAGACAGACACGCGAGCGACAGCTAGTAAATCATAAATTAAATTCCATTACAACAAATCGATTAATGCTATCAATTAGTATCTTCGTTACTGATATGAAATGAATTACGATTAAAATGTACAAGTAAGGATCATATATGATTAATGATTTCTCTATATGTTTAAATCATGCCATGTTATCGATGTTGGAAAAATTCACATTTTTTTATATGTTTACATAAATTTATGTATGTATGTTGTGTCTTCAGGTGAAGACCCGCAAGGCGGAGGAAGGTGGTGGTGGAGGCAGCTGGTCTCAGAGTCAGCAGCGCGCGCTGGAGACTGCGCTGGCGAAGCACCCGAAGGGCGGCGCCGGAGATCGCTGGCAGAAGATCGCCGCCGCTGTGCCCGGCAAGACCAAAGTACAACCACTACTGCACTCATTACTCATTTATGCTACAGTCACCTCATAGCTTACAGATCTACAACAGTAGAACATCATCAGCTCACTATACGCCCCCATCGAAGTTCTCGGAGTCTAAGTCATGTGTGACTAAGTCATAGTCAACCACGCTGGTCAAGTGCGGGTTGACTTCACACATATCTTTGAATTTCTTCTCAGATATGTGCAACATCACGATGTTTTCCTTCACCGTAAGAACATAGGATAAACGTAAATCGGAAATCGAAAAACACATTGGTATATATATGAACCTAGGACTCGCAGATTATATATCAAGTGCTTAATCCCTGAGTTACCGCCGCTCTGTTTATTAATCACCCGAATTAAAAAAAAGTTACTCTATTTGCAATCTGTACATTATTTGACAGATCGCATAGTATAAATCGAATATTATTTTTTAATCTACTTAGAACTTTACACTATTTTTTTACAGGAGGAATGCATGCAGAGGTGTAAATATCTATCCGATGTTGTGAGAAAACAGAAACAGAAAGAAGAAGAAGAAAGAGAAGCGCAGAAGGAGGAGACCAGTGACGCACAAAAACAAGACGAAGAAATAACTTCGTAATCAATTAATCCTTTAAATTATTAAAACAATACTGAGACATTGTTAATTAAAAATAAAACTACGATCGATTTGTCAACTTATTTATAAACTATCGGAGGTTGGAAATCAATATTTGATCTCGAACCAGTTTTACTTTGTGAATATCGATTTTAACGTCGTTAATGAAGCTTCCAAAGTAGTTCGCGGTGGCTGACCTTGGGTTTCTGACGACAATATATATGTATAAAATATTGTCATCCCTGTCATTATCTTTGAATAAAAAAACAAGTATGACAATATATTTTAAAAGGGTATTTTGGTCTCAGAAACTGACGGTGCGTTAACGAATTTTTTTTGTTATGTTTATTTTACAGTCGTAATAGTTTGGTGAAAGTTGTCGGTCACAGATCGAAGCGTTTTTATGATCCCAGTTTAATTATTCAACAAAAAAGGTTATCAAAATAAAATATTGGTTGTTATAAGAATTTTACTTGTTTTATCTTTTCCTTTTATCAATTTTAATTATATTTATAGTATCACAGTTATCTGACCCGGTCAGCATAAGTCAAACTTAATTGTGATAGCTCACTAACGCCCTCTTTGTTAACGTCACAAGATTTCGTAGTGCAGCCATCATGTCATTCTTTATGTAATTTTCTACGCCCATGTAGTTTTTTATATCTTCAGCGTCTCAGCAGCAGGGACAGTTGTCCTTGTTTCAGTAGTAACAACAAGGATAAGACACTTTTTTTTAGATTGACAAGAATGCGCTAGTGAGTTGTCATAATTTAGTTTGACTTATGCCCACAGAGTCAAATAGCATTCGTTCTACTTCTGAACTAAATATTTTTTTTAACCAATTCACTATTTATTCTGTCATTTATACAAACGAAAGATAGGTAAAGGCTAAAAGATCAATAAAAACAAAAATATGCTTCGATTTTTTTTTAATTATTTACAAAAATAAAGACAATAAAAAATTGTAAGCTTACATATCTTTGGATTCGATACAATCACGTAAACCACAGTACGTTTAAAACGAGTAACATTGAACTTTGGAAGCTTAATAAATAATAATAAATCGTTTAATTACTTAATAATAATTGTAAAATTGAGCATATTGTACACATTTTAAATACTGCGGTTCACTAAAATGGGTAAATGAATGTTCAAAGTCTCGGCGGCGGTCGGCCCGTGGTGCCGAACCTAGCGAACATGTCTGGAATATTGTAGTCTTCATCCAATATGGGGTTATATCTCGGTGGTATTGATGTGTACCTCGGCCCTTTTACGCCTGAAAATAATTTGAAAATGTAAGTAAAGAAGTAGATCCTTCGACTAATGATCGTAATGATCGTTGTGTGGTACCTGTCTTGGTGGCGGTCCACTTGGCGGCGCCCCCGCAGCGCTGACAGACGCAGCGCTCCGGCGAGGCCACGCTGTGCGCGCGCCGGCTGCCGTCCTCGCACACCAGCCCCACCACCAGCCGCTCGTACTTCACCGCCGCGCAACACTCACACTTCGAGTCGTGAGCACCCGTTTCTGGAATATACCAATGTTAACTACCGCATTCTGACAGTTTTGCAGTGACCGTCGATTTTATAACATCTGAATCGGAATGGAGAATATTTATTTCCCATCCTCCTCTGTTAGAGACCTTGTTGTGCCAATCTCGCATAACTGTCGACAATTATGATGGTCGATCGACTCACGGTTGTTGTACAAGGTGCCGGAGTCGCAGGAGCCGCGGCACTCGCGGAAGCCGGGCACTGGCTCGCGGTTGACGCAGAAGCCGTGCGGTCCCATGTGCACGCGGATCAGACCCAACGTCTCCAAGCTCGGGATCGACTTAGGCACGCAGGTACCTATGAGAAAAGACACGAAATCCTCAACATCTATCTCAAAAATATGTTAGCTTTGCAATTCGTTTTTTAGCTTTCGCGTACATTTGCTAGGATTAGGTAACTGCCAACGATTATTTTACTCACTGAGCGGGCTCGGCGTCATCTTGCAGACCTGGCAGCAGGTCTCGTTGACGAGGTCCTCGGGCGCACAGGCGGACACGTCCGGGCAGGGCCGCCGCAGCGACGTCGTGTAGAATTCTTCGCCGTCACGCTCGCAAGAGAACGTCGTACAGTTGTCGCCAGATTGCCAAGTTTCGCCTACAGGCATACGATAGAATAAGCAGAAGCTATAGGAGCAGTGATACAAGTGTATTGGGGGCGAAGGTTACCAGGTTTCCTGAGCTTGTCATCGACTAGGCAGGCGAACTGCACGCAGCGGCTGCAGCAGACGCCGGGCGGCGGCTCTTTGTACAGCCAGCCGCGCGGGCAGTCGCGCACGCAACCCTCAGTCGCCTCCTTGCGCGACAGTTGGCCGTCCGAGTCGCGCGCACACGTCGCGTTCACGCACGGGTCCGTCGTTGTCCAGCTCTGTCCCTCCTTGTTGAACAACATTTATGTGAATGTGAATGTGAATGAAATGTGAATTTGTCTGTTTTACCTTCGAAGTCTGGATTTTTGTAAATTTTTACAAGGCTAATATAAATTAATGACGAGTACCAATAGCCACGTTGTCTTTGCATGTCGGAAAAAATATGAGGGGTAACCTGGTAGATGGTGTCTCCGACGCGGCACGCTACGGGCTCTCGGATGGGGCAGCACTTGCCCACCACCTTCTCCTCAGAGTACACGAACTGCTTCAACATGGCCTCCTTGATCACTGGACACTTCTCATTGGCGCTCTGGACTTGTAACTGAAATATAGAAATTAACAATATTTAGTTAAATTACGTATTTGCGTGTGTTTGCTTGTGTGTGTTATTAAAGTAGTGTGATAGTACTCACGGTGCCGTTGAGGTCCACACAGGTGTAGTTGGTACAGAAGTCCTTGGAGGTCCACACCTCGCCGATGAGTCGCAGCACTCCCTCGCACATGCACGCCACCGGCTTGCACCGCCCGCAGCACTGCTCGCTCTTGTTCACTGAAGGTACGTATTCCCAGCCCTGCGATACACGTGTTTACTAAATCAATCCTTAGTAATTATGCCAAATCAATCCTTTATTCTATGACTATATGACCAGTCCAGCCGTTTCAAACAATTTGTGCTCCTTCTTGTTAAGTTACAGAATCTATAATTTTACTCACTGGTTGACAGTCGTCGTCGCAGCTTTGCACTGTGGTCACTTTTTCCAGCTTGCCGTCCTCTGCGCGCGCGCACTGGTACGACTCGCATGCGTCTGTTGGCGACGTCCAGTTTTCTCCCACCTTTGATAGATAATAAAAACAATAAAATCTAGCCTTTCATGAATCAAATAAAACAGTTATAGACGAGGACAGCGAGGAAAGAAGACAGATATTTTCTTGTGAAAGTATATAATATGAAAGATTAAGAAACCAGGGTTGAGACCAAAATACTTCAACAGTAAAAGCACATTAATAACATATTGATATGATGGACTTACCTGATATATTTTATCAGCAACGCGACATGCGACAGGTTCGACTTTCGGACAACATTTTCCTTCCACTTTAAGTTTCGTGAGTACAAACTGCTTTTCCATTGATTCGCTTATTTCTGGACACGTCTCGTTGAAGCTTTGGACTTGGAGCTGTACGAAAATGTATCATTTTAGATGCTGTAATAAATTAATTTAGGAAAATATTGAAGAGACTGAATGCAAAGGAAGTTGGCAAGATTAGACAAAATAAGAAATTTGTAGAAAAGAAGTATAATTTCCAAGTTGTAATACTTACAGTGCCGTTGAGGTCCACACAGGTGTAGTTGGTACAGAAGTCCTTGGAGGTCCACACCTCGCCGATGAGTCGCAGCACGCCCTCGCATACGCACGCCACCGGCTTGCATCGTCCGCAACACTGCTCGCTCTTATTCACCGAAGGTACGTACTCCCAGCCCTACACCATTGAATACAGAATATATTTTTGTACTAACTTCTAAGTAACATTTTGTAGATGCCTAATCTAATACACTCTACCCTCTACTACTCTTTTGTTTTCTATAATTGGTAAGTATAAAGCTTTATGCTAATAAAATATACATATAGAATCTTGTAATGATCGAATGCCCCAACCCGAAACTCACCGGTTGACAGCTATAGTCGCAGCTTTGCACGGTGGTCACCTTCTCCAATTTGCCGTCCTCTGCGCGTGCGCATTCGTAAGATTCGCATGCGTCTGTTGGCGATGTCCAGTTTTGTCCAACCTACCACATAAAAGATATTCAATTAATTCTAACAATATAATTGTGGAAATCCACTCATTTACTTGATTTTTAATAGATCGATATCTGAATCTAGTTCTTACCTCGTATATTTTATCATTCACTCTGCATGCGACAGGTTTGACCTTGGGACAGCATTTGCCTTCCATCTTTTCTTTAGTCAGCACAAACTGCTTTTCCATGGATTCACTTATTTCCGGACAGGTCTCGTTGAAGCTTTGGATTTGTAGCTAAAATAATTAAAACAAGATAAACAAAAGCAATCAGAGTTTATTAGATGTAAAATGCTACCAATGAGATACGGGCAAAGAGAGAGGACATACTTTATGTAACCAACCTTAGAGATAAAGACGAGGAGTCCTTGTGAGAGTGCGGTAACGTGTGTACTATTAGTAGCTACATCGGTAAGTCTTTTGTACTACTAAATATTGTTATTTACTTTTATAGTTTCCTAACTGAGTTAATACTCACTGTTCCGTTGAGATTGACACAGGTGTAGTTGGTGCAGAAGTCGGCAGAGGTCCACACCTCGCCAATGGGGTGCAGAACACCTTCACACACGCACGCCACCGGCTCACATGTACCACAGCACTGCTCGCTCTTGTTCGCCGATGGTATGTACTCCCAGCCCTGGATAAACAAGTATAGGTTAACTGAATTATAATAATAATAGATAAATGTTGATACGCGATTTGTTTAGATGGTCCTTCGAGTCGTATGTATTTTTCCCCACCGGAGAACCAACTACCGTCTTTTTTCTCTTTTCTCTATGTCTATTAATATGTAGTCAACCATAGATTAAAACAGCTCGTTTGTTTATATCAGCAGTGTTGATACTGACCGGTTGGCAGTCGTCATGGCAGTAGTGCACGGTGGTGAGCCGCTCCAGCCGGTCCCCTGTGCGCGCGCACTCGTACGATTCGCATGCGTTAGTTTCAGACGTCCAGTTCTCGCCAACCTAAAAACAATACATTTATCATCATATTCTATAATATCATATGAATATGTTGGCGATGTGTAATGTGATGTTCACCTGGTAGATCTTGTCATCGACGCGACAGGCGACAGGCTCGACCTTGGGGCAGCACTTGCCGGGCACCTTCTCCTCCGTCAGCACGAACTGCTTCTGCATCTCTTCCGATATCTTAGGACAGGTCTCGTTTGCGCTCTGCACTTGGAGCTGAATGGAAATAACATTTTACTTTAGGTTTAATCATTAAAATGTATTTAAATTACTAAATAAGACTTGTCTAAAATGATTTCTAAAGTTGTAAACTAGAGTGTAACCAACTTGATCTCTACAAACCAATTTGTGGTCATTCGGCATGAAGGTTGGCCTTGTATGAAGAATAATGTATACAAAGTGCAAAGTAGTCGTATGCTTACGGTTCCATTGAGGTCTACGCAGGTATAGTTGGTACAGAAGTCTGGTGAGGCCCAGGTCTGACCGATGGGGTGCAGCGTGTCCTCACACACGCACGCCACCGGCTTGCACTTGCCGCAGCATTGGCCGCTGTTCTCGTCAGCCGGGACGTACTCCCAACCCTGAGTAATTTTAACCAATTCCTTAATTATTATAAGACAGAGCCAATGCTATTTCCGAGAATTTATGTTCTTTGCAAAGCAAGTCTTCATTTTCTCAGTCTAGCAACACACCTCCAGTTTTTGCGGATGTTGGACTTTAAACGATGACAATGAATATTCTATGTATAATATTCTTAATTTTTGCTTAAATAAAAGAAGTCTCTTAATCTTTTGTAATTACCGGTTGACAGTCTTCGTCGCAGTATTGTTGTTTGGTGACCCTGTCGAGTTGTCCCTCGCCGACTTTGACACAGTGGTATGTCTCACAGGGGTTATCGGGCGACGTCCAGTTCTCGCCAACCTGTAGCCATTTATCATTTTAATTCCTTGTGAATACAAAAGGTATAGCATCTTTAGATCGTGTCAAGCTTTTTTACTTAGATACGAAAAATGATATTGTGTATTGAATTTGCCCCAATCTGTTTAAAGACCTCATTATCTGAGATATGGTGTTACCTTGTATACGTGGTGTTGGTACCGGCAGGCGGCTTGCACGGCGCGCGGGCAGCACTCGAAGGGCACCGGCAGCGCCTCCATCACGAACTCCTCGCTGGTGGCCAGCGGTGGGCACTCCGTGATGCCGCACTGAGGCACCGCGCCCACAGACTCCGCGTTACAGCGGCAGGACCGGCACGGCCCGTCCAGCCACACCGCATCCACCTGGGTACACGGCATAACGATATTCGTATCAGTCATAGTGCTTTGTAATTGACTTTTCTAAAAATGAGCTAATGAATTTTTACTCACATCCTTTAACACACTTTGCGGCACTTCTCTTGGTTTTTCTCCACCTCGAGCCGCTGCCTCCCACTCCAGCTTAGCAATGCATTTGTCTTTAGGCAGTACTGCAAAAAATATAAAAAAAATAGCTTGATAGTTATCCAATTTTTCACTACTCTTTCCTCAACATGTTCATCGCAAAACTTGTTACTTACCGCACTTGTGTTCGGGGCAGCATTGCCCGGGTTGCTCGGTAGTGTTGAGGTTATGGAACTCCGGGCATACTGGCGGTTTGGGGCAGGAGTCGCGGCGGCAGACGAGCTGGGCGCGCGGGCAGCAGCCGCTGCTGTCGATCACCCTCTCCATTCCAGGTTCCATTATTTCCACTTCGCTGTCCGGAGGAATGGCTTCGCACTCGCTCGCCGGTTTGCACTCTGTTAACATGGTCAACGTATGGCATTATCTCAAGGTAGGCAATGCATCTGCGGTTCCTCTAGTCTTGCAAACGTCCATGGGTGTCGATGAACACCTCGGTGTTCCCGCTCTTTGCTTTTACCTTATCTTATAAAAAGAAAATTATTAAGCTAAGTTATCCTTTACGAACTTACCGCATGAGAACTCTTTACATCCGCTGGGCGTGTTCTTTTGTTTCAACACTTGACCGAATCCGCACTCCATCTTTTTCGGTTCCTCGCAGTGTTTCTCAATCGGTTTCGGCACTAAAAGCAGAAGCAGATATGATAAATAGAAGCTAAAGTACGATAGGGGTCGCAGACCCTAAATAAAGATTAGTAGTATAATCTTACCACACATGTACTCTGGGCAGCATTGTCCGGGTTTGGCGGGCTTGGTGACCAGGTTCTCGTGTTCACCACACACAGACACAGTGCACGTTTGTTTTACACACGACACTTGTGCCTCATTTGAGTCCACCAGTTTGCTGCACGTACATTTAGTGCACGCGTCTTCCTTTAAAAGTAACAAGTTTTTAGTAATTGAGGTTATTTCTAGGACTTGATTGCTAGGATATTAATTTGTGATTTCTTAAAAATGAACTCCATGTACTTACTTGCCACTCGTCGCCCGAGTAATGTTCCTTTTTGGCGTCGCAAGGGAAGCACTTCTTGGGTTCAATACACGTGTTGTTCACTCGGACCTGCAACAACATTAAGGTTTTTATAAACATTTTATTTAATGTTCTATGTTTTATAATGGTTTTCTAGAGGACCCATTTTTACAATCAGCAGAAATTGGCTTGAAAATGACCAAAATTGAAGTTAAACCTGCAATAGTCTTTGCCGTAATCTTTATGTTACCTTTCCCTTAGGACAGAAGCAGCCATCGACGGGGAAGGTGTCGCATTTCTCCGGATTCTTTTCGAGAATGTCGTAATTCTCACACGTCCTCTCGCAATCGACGCATTCTCGGTACACCATTGGGCTTTCGCTGGAAATTAACACAATTGTTTCATGTACAAAAACTGGTAACTTAGTTTCTGTCCACGAATGTGTGCTTCGAAGTACTTTAAGTAACAATTTATTCTTATGGTTCAGCTACCTTAATACTAATTTATGACATTCTTATCTAATAAACGCATTATGTATTGTGTACTATGCATCTGAACTGACCATGGGTATGGGCAGAGTTCCTGATTACGCCACTGCAGACAGACGCCCTGGCGACGGCACTCGGCGGCGTACATCTCCAGCGAGGGGCAGGCGTCGGTCGTGTTCCACGCGCACAGATCATCCTCGCACTGCGCTATGTACTCTGCCGGGTCTACCAGCGCGTGACACTGTGCACAAAATACCAATAAATATAAATCATCTTGGTGGGATTTTAATGGATCATCATATAGACATTTTCCTTCTCCGGTGAGTTAGAAAAGTTTTTCGCTTCTACATCTATCTCCCGTCAATCCCGTCTTCTTGTTTCATGTCTCTTATCCACATTTTTTTAACCCTGTCGTCATGTCCACAACTTATCTCCCAGTACAAACATAAGGATGCCGGACTCAATGTACACTGACCTCTCCAAAGGTCTCGACGTTGTTGAGGACGAGACAGGGGTTGCGCTCTGGAGGCAAGGGGTCGCAGACAGGCTCGGGAAGGAAGTCGCCGCAGACCATCAGCACCGCCTCGTTCAGGACCGACAGGGTGTCTATATCTGCCTGCCAGCTCTTGCCATACTGAAGACAAAAATCGTAAGTTAGACACAATTAATAAAACAAAAACGTGTCGTTATATTTCATAAAGGTATCGGTACCAATTCAAAATCATCAGTGACGGTTCCGTTCCTGGTGATGAGTTTATCCTGGTATCCCATGCAGACGCCGCACAGACCCTCTGTCTGGTTGGCGTACTGGTACGACGGCACGCGGACTGAGAACTCCAACTTTGCTCGCAGCACTGACAACTGGAAAAGGATAATCAAAATCTTGTACTTCAATAGTTACATCATAAATTTAGTGTTGATACATTATTTATAAAATGTCTGTTTAAAAATAAATGCACATACTGTGACATTAGCATTGTTTATTTAGATCCGACTCAAGGGACCAAGTTTAATTAAGTAACCGAAAATACGATATGAAATACAGATATTTTAAAATAATATCTCACAAACCTCCACATGTATATCTGGCAGCTTGATTGTGACGTCTTCGCCGTTGACTTTACTTATTTCAGCCCATTCATTTTTCAGCGGATATTTGAACACGGGCTCGTCGTTTATAGTTGTCTGAATCTGAATACAAAATGGTATTTTTAGACGACGCTATAAACAATGCCTTAACGAGGATTAACAAGGATTTGAAATAAGCTTAGGCATGGTACTTAGTAGTTAGATATGTTCGATATGTTTCACTTACCATGTTTGAATAAGACTCCTTTGCGATCTGAACAATATTCTTTTCGTAAATCAAATAGATTGATTTCGTGCACGCAACATCTTTATTGTCAGCACACGGTTCGTTTGTCACGTAGACCTGGAAGACAAATTAAAACATTGGGAATATTGTTCACAATAAACTGTCTGGTCTGTCTTAACTCTTTGTGTCTTCTTGGATCCATTTTTACCTGATACTTGTGGTTTCCGGTCTCATTCCTGTCCCTAGATGCGAGGTAGGTGCAGTTGCCGAGGAAAGGCAAGTCGTCACCTTCAAACGTCTGGTACTTCGAAGGCGTTCCCAAACCGTGGCAAGTACCTACAAATAATCGACTTTAATATTAAGATTTGAAGGATGGATGTAATTTAATGAAACATTTGAACAAAATATTTTTACAATTATAAGCTTTGATTGCCATTAATTAAGATGAATAATGCCATGAGAAGATGCGTTCCAAGCTTTTTTATTTGTTTAAAGTTACTTACAGTCTAAGCAATCAGTAGGCGCTATACACTGGTCGCCCTTGCGCAGGCGTCCCTCCGGGCAGTAGCAGCCGGGGAAGCAGAGGCCGTCCTCCTGCTGGCTGCTGCGGCTGCCGGCGCCGACGCCAGCGCAGGTCGGCTCGCTGCGGCGCCGGTAGCAGTCGTAGTGAACCAGCGGCGCAGCGCACTCCGCCGCTGTTACACACATTGCATAACATTGTAAAAAAAACATGCACCAAACATGAACTGGCCCTTCGATCAGGATTACTGAAACTAAATGGGTTGTAAACTTTTTAAATTATACACAACTCAAAATATAATTAAGCTTTATATGTGTTCAATTTAAAACTAACATCTAATTCAGTGGTAAAATCGTCAGTTAAAATCTCTACTTACGACAATTCATATTCATTCTCCAGCTCTGTATGTCGAGATCCTTGTCGGCGGCGAGGCACTCCGCCACCAGCTGCTCCACGAACTTGCACCTGCACTCCTCCTCGGAGCGCTTGGTGCCATTCACCACCTGCTCAGCACACTCGCACACCTTCTCCAAGCAGATGGTCCGCCATTTGTCCAGGTTAAGAACCTTGGCGCATTGCGAGATCGGTTCTTTCCTGTCAATAATTTTTTTATTAATAATCCAATTGAGGCAATATTCTTTCATCAATTTGGTATTGCTTATAAAACATACGTAAAATAGGTTTGTGATCTTTTCTGTATTATACAGAGAATTATAGAAACTCTAATTGCTTAGACTTACGTAAGAACGTCGCACATGTCCCAACATTTCTTTTGTTCCTTGGGCGGAATAACCTTGGGCTGGCAGGCATCAGGCTTGAGGCCGGGCTTGGCCCAAGACCTACCGAACTGGTCGATGCTGACCGCCTGCTGGCCACTTGGAAGCCGACGGTCGTTGCTGGAGTCGCCGTCGTAAGCACCGCAGAGACCGTCCACACCACCCAAGTGTGTCTTAAGCAGCTATTATCCGAAAGAAAACATATAGGCGTAAAAGATAATTCAAGTTAATAATCGAAAGATTGATGGATTTATGGGATGGATTAAAATTATTAAACTAACCCCAATTTTGATATCACCATTAGTTGAATACAAGACGGTGAAGTTATATTTTCTAGACTTAATGGACACGCCGTTGCCAAGGCGGTCGACATCGAAGCTGTTCTTCTGGAAGCAAATCTTGCGAGTCTGCTCCACTGTGTATTCGAAGTTGTTGTATTCTATCATTAGATTTGGCTTCACGAGGATCAACTGGTCATCTTGGAGCACCATCAATTGATTTACGCAACCATCGGGGCGGCACTTCTTGCGGACTGAAAGGATCACGGTAAAAATTATGTTTTTGGGCTAGTGATGCGAAAATTATATTTGCCAAAACCATATTAACTTGAGATTATTGTCGCGAATATGACTTAAAATTTAACTTTGTTAGAAAAGGCAATGACAAGAAATTTAATTTTATTCCAATTTTTGAACAGTTAATTTTTCCAAAATATGTTACCAATAACTGTCCAGGCGTCGAAGCGGTTGTCTCTGGCGAGGATGTGGAAGCAGATGTCGTATTTGTATTCGACGCCATCGAAAGTATTAAAGGTGCGCCCTGTCACGTTGCAGTACACCGGCCGCTCCACTGGGGGCACGCACACGTACCTATGAACATAACATGGATATTGCCTACTTGACAAACTGACTAACATTCCGCTCTAACTTCTCTTGGCTTATCTTGTTAATAGACACAAGGAGAACCAAGACAATCGGATCTCAGCAAGCACTTAAATGGTTCTAAATGGTTATAGTTCCTATATAAAGACACCAAATAAAATCTAGTTTTTACATATTCAAGGTGCAAATCTTAACCTTTGACGATACTTACTGTGGACACTTATGAACGTCGGTTGGTACACTTTCCAGTTTGAGTGAGTAGTGCTGCGGGCAGAGAGGGGCGGAGCAGATGAGGGGCGGGAGGGTGGAGCCCGGCCTCGGCGGTGGGGGTAGTTTCGGGATGCATTTAAATTGCGGGCAGACTTCCTTGGACGAGGTGTCTTTCGTTAACGCAGGTTTATCCAGTGAGAATGCTTGATTTTGCTGCGGGAACTTCGGTCGGCCTGTAGAGAATATTCTTAATTTAAACACGTCATTTACCAAGAGCAAGGTCGTTTTTATAATTACTCATATTTTGGAATTGCTTACTTAATTTTGGCGAATGGTAATGATGTAAAAAAGATCACATTAAAGGAGTTTTAAGCTGTAGAAAGAGCATTGGTGTGAAAGCACGTACCAAAAGGTGTATATCCGCCTTTAGAGAATCCTCCCTTAGAAAAGGCAGTCTTCGAAAATCCACCCTTCCTCCCGTACCATGTCTTTGCTCCAGTTTGGTACCTCTGGTAGGAATTTCTTGGCCTTGGAGGCGGCAGGTCAGATGTCAACGATGATATGTAATTAGGACGGCCTGTTATGGTTTGGACAAAGTAACCACGCGGGCATTCCACTTTGGGACATTTCACAGCTGAAAATCAAACATTTTCAAATTAAAATTTTGGTTACAACAACTGTGAGTACTCACAACGATTCTCATTTCCGAATTACTTAACAACTCCATAACATTTTCTTATTCGGTACTTGCTAGTTTAAGATTATAGCTAAATAAAAATTGCCACATGTTACATATACAAGCCATATAAATAACTTTAAATACCAATAATTATTTTAATACTAGCTGTCGCCCGCGACTCCATCCGCATGGATATATAAAAAAACTTAAAATATAGATAAGTTAAATAAAAAGCAGCTCTTCAAGGCAGAAATTCGAAAAAAAAGAATAAATAGTATCCTATGTCCGTCTCCAGAATCTAAGCTACCTCCTCACCAATTTTCAGGCATATCGGTAAAGCCGTTCTTGAGTTATAAATAGTGTAACTTACGCGACTTTCTTATACAATTATTATACTGAGAAAAACGATAAATTTTGTATGTAAATATAATACCATTATACTTACATACGTATATACATAATGATATAGCGAAGCTTTATTTACATTATTATATGTAAGCCATAAAATATTCGCGAAATATAACAGCCAGATACACTTGCATTTATTAGGCTTATATACGTCATTGAATCATTTACCTATATTTCTATCCTCGTTCTTAGGTTCTATAAATAGAGTTTTCGGTACCTTCTCTAATCTTGGATGAAAATTTTCATAAAATGTAGCAATTTCTTTAATTTCCTTACGGCCTGTTAAAGATATGTTTCTATAAATTTTGTATTTGTTAATTTGCTAATTAATCACATCGTTCCTAAATCTCATACTCACTACACATATGTAGAAGATGGGAGTCTTGCATACATTAATTGCTAAAAATCTACACTTAAGCGATTGTTAAATATTCTGATTGTGCTTACGTTCTGGTTTTTGTGTGGTGGTGGTGGTGGCAGGCGGCGTGGCGCCAGCAATAGGCACGGCCGTGCTGATGAATGTGGGTTCTGTGACGGTGGTCTTAATGGCGGTGCTGGTGATGCAGTCGCGCTCGTCATCTCCGCAGTCCTGGAGGCCGTCGCACCACTTCTCCAGCGGCAAGCACAGCGCGCTCGTCGGGCAGATCCTGGTGCCGTCGGGGCATGCCTCGCACGAGCATTCGCATGTCGACGTTGACAGTTTTGGTACCATATCCTATTAAAAGAGTAACCATACTTAATATTATTAATGCGAAAGATTGAACGGATAAATATGTTCCTATATAACATCATATCGGCTGAACGGATCTAGATGGATTTGGAACAGAGATTAGTCTCCAACATGGCATATGCTACTCAGTTTTATATATTCAAAATAAAAGCCGTGAACGTAACTAACCGGCTCACACTTGCACTCCTTAATGGGCTTGCAGTCGGTGATGCCGCCCAGCTTGCACATGCACTCGTCGCATTCAGTGCCGCGGAAGATAGAACCGACCGCATACCTGAGGACACAACGTACTAAGAGTCAAATACAGTGGAACAAAAAAGTTTCTTGTTAGTTTATCATCAACCATTTCGTGTAATAGTATCGACACTTTAGAGTAAATTTTGCTATGAGATATGCATAAACTTAAAAAGATAATCTTACGTCATAAATCCTTCGACGCATGGACACTGGTCCCTGGAGACGCAGGTCTCGCCGTCAAAGTACTGGAGCTCTGTGCAGTTGCAGGCGGTCGGTCGCACGCCCGGGCACACCTCGCACCCGCTGCTGCTCGGAGTCGGTGTTGGAGCGACGGTTGTTGTCGTTGCTGAACAAGTTAATTATCTTTAAAGTCGTAAATTATCGTCAAAAGAAAAACTGTTTTCGGATTAAGGGATTACTATTTTCTAAGACATATCAAGCCGTACTAACATTGAAAAACTTGATATCCTAATTTAAACTATTCTTAAGAAAGATATCGTGATTGCTCGAATTGCAAGCCCAATGATTAAAAATTAATCATCATCAAGGAATCTTTTGTTTTAAATTATGATCATAAAGTACATGCACTCGATTTCTAAACATTTTATTACAAGGAACTTAAAACTTACGGTAAGGTTCGAAACATCCAATAGGCTCCACTCTCATCTCCATATTACGATTCCATTTGACTGGCAATATCTTTAAGTACTGAGCACGTATCGGCGGCCGGAACTCTGTCGTCACCACTGTGTCGCTGTCGTAGTTGGCCGGGAACTGTCGCACATCTCCGAGCATGTCCACCATGGGGCTGAACGGCAGCGACAAGTTGCACGAGAACAGCACGTTGTATGCGGTTACCCATCCTGTCACTCCACCCTTGGTCTTGATGCCGGTTATATTACGTGGTGCCATGAAGTCAAACTGTGGACAAAATAATTATTTACTGAATGTTCATACCGAAATGGTGTTCCTAATCTAAAATGAAATTTTTAGCTGTACTCATTATTCTGATGAGTTTATCCAAGTGTCTTTGTGTATTTATTATATGTATATTCTTTCAGCGAAGCCGTCTAGATTTTAGTTAACACTAACCTTGATCCATTGTCCAGGGGTACTGTAAGTTGGGCGCCATCCTCTTTCTCCATCGAGCTTCAAGAATGGTCGCGCCTCATTGTTGGAGGACACTTCAATGTTGTCCAAAGGCAGTTCGGCGTCTAAGCCCATAGCATCCGTACACTGCATTGGCTCAGGCTAGAAAATAAATTTAAATTACATTTAGTCCTATTACTGCCGAAGAGTCCTTAAGCTACCTCAGCGTACTCAGACATTATTTGGTCGCTCAGGAAGACCCTTAGCATATTTCTAAATCTACACTAAGGCATATCGTCGATGATATTGATTAAACTCACAGTTGTGACAGTGGTGGTAGGCACCGGCGTGGTGGTGATGGGTTCCTCACAGCCGATAAGCTCCAAGCGCACTGCAATACCCTTGTGCCACGTCAGCGGTCGGATGCGGATGAATTTCGCTTCGATGGGCGGCTCAATCATTTGCTGCAGGGGTTCGCTGCTGTCAACTGGACCTCGGAAGACCTGAGACGAAGATTACATTGCTTTGAATAGTGTATGTACATGAAGAACACATATACAATAAATTAATAAGATTAAAAATGGATACGCACAACAGGTAAATGAATACAGTGACTGCTAATAGAAATTTATGGGAAATTACTACAAATATAATAGTACTAAGCCTCTGTAGGGAAAACAGTAGGAATATGATAAGTGTTAACAAAATAAATTTAGCCTTTTATTATAGTATCAGAAGCTTTTAGTGGATTACCTTAGGTTTTCCATCAGGACCATCTACAGTAGAGAAGACGCTACCATCATCGCCATACATGACTTCATAGCTGGTGACGTAATGGTCGAACACGGGGCTGCCTTGCATCGTCACGCCATAGACAGGCTCCCGGTGAGGGAACTCGACTTGTATGTATTGATTCGTGTCCATAGTCTTTGGAGTCCAGCTGGCACCTGAATAAAAAAAGTACTTATATCATTAGGTTAAATATATTTTGGGGCTCTTAAACGATGTAACAGTATTTTAATATGAGAAATTTTAAGTTATTTTTATGAAGATTAAAACTATTATACCTTTACTGGAATAGACTTAACTTCTATTATTACTAAAACATTTATTAATTTCTTGAAGTATCCTTAGCATAAATTTTAGTTATTGTTTTCATATCCCACCTGATATATCTAGCGGTACACCATTTAATTCTGCATGCTGAGGTTCATACAAGGGACTGGATGAAGAGCTGGCGGTGAACGCAGACTTTGGTAAGGGTTCCGCATTCCATAGCAGATTTTTATACCTGTTTTAATTTAAGGCAAATTATTATATGAGATTATATCAAATTATTATTCAATATTGAATATTTTTAGTTTAATAAAATCTGTTATGATTTATAATACTAACTTTGTAGGATCACATTTTGGTGGCGGAGTATTTGTAGATTTGATAATAAGTGGCGTTTCCGTTGTCGGTACGGTCGTTTCTACAGACGGTTCCGTGGGAGCGTGTGTTGTTCCTTCCGTTGTAGATAACGTTGTTTTGGGCGGAAGAGTAGGTGTCGGCGTAACTTCAACCGTAGTTGGTGTCCAAGTAGAAGAAATTGTCACTGTAGTGGGTTTCGTCGGTGCTATGGTGGGGAATGTAGCCGGAGTGGTTTTGGGTTCGAGGATATAGGTCATATGCGTAGGCCCAACTGAGGTGAAGATGGAAACACAGTCAGTGGTATCACAGTGTAATGCGTTGTCGAGACACTGACATTTCTCGCAGCCGTGAACCACAACACCGCCAGGCTGAACAAAAAAAACGATAAATGTTTAAATATTTGACACGAATCTTTGTATTATGTGCTAAATATCATTGTTCTAAAGTACCTTAATTCTGTGGCCTTCATCGTAACAAGTGCAGTCCTTGATAGGTACACAGGTCTTGTCATCGCGCCATTTCGATCCAAACTCGCATTTTATATTTGCAATCGACTCATCGATGCAGGCTTTTACACATTTCTGTAAAATTAATGCAAATTAATTAACTAAAATAATTCTCTTCCAGTTTTAACTATATTTTTAGTCTGAACCAATTATTCGACAATTTAACTCAACTCTCATCTAATACAAACAGTACAAAAATGTATTGTATACCTGTCCCGGGAGACATTCTCCTCTCTCCCGTAATGTCTGTAGGAAATGTTCGCACAGGTTGTCGCAGGGGTACGCGCAGGAGGAGAACACCTGGCCAGGCGGGCACAGGGGACTCGTTGGCAGAGGAGGGGTAGCTGTTAATCAAATTTACGTAGTACTTGAAAATATTTTATTGGTTTATCAGGGCGAAAAGAACTATTTTAGAACTATACTGTAAGCTCAGATGAAACTCAATAAGGAACCTTACCTATCGTAGAAGATGCAGTCGTAACAAATGATTCGGACGTAAAGATTCTCGGAACTGAAAATAGTGAGTTGTTTAAAATTTAAAATTATATAATATTGATACAATAACGTGCCATTATAAAGTACCAGCAAGTTTTTGAAAGGATGCATGTGAAATACCAATGAATAATGTGGCAAGATTCAAACGTAGATTTACCTCCAGGTGATTCTGTAGCGGTGACCCCGGTCGGTGCTGTTTCTTCAGCTGCTAAAATCAGACACGTAAAAAAAAGGTAAAAAAGGTAAAAAGGAAAAACAAGATAATCATTATCCTTAAAATAGCATTGTAATAACTAATCATACAGCTTCATGAATTCTAATCTACCTAAGTACTTCGATCTTAACAATTGTAATGATAGTGATGATAAATTAGTAAGCCCCAAGAATGTGATGTGCTTTAAAAACATTCGATCAAGTAAAAGACCAAGGCTCCTGAGAACTACGTGCAAAGCTTTCTTGTAGAAAAAAATCTGGTGAGTACCAGGTGTAGCAGCTGTTGTGGTGGTGATTGGTTTCTCGCACTCCGGTCGCACTGCGTATACAGCCTGGGGCCAGTCGCACACCATGGTTACCGGGTTGTACAGGAGACCTTCCCCGCATTGCTTAAGCACGGCGTGCGGTTCCTTTGTGGTGCCCACTTCGGGGGTGCATTCGTAGAACTTGCTGCAATCCGTGGGGTGCGGGTGGTTGGGATGCGTGCTGTTCATGCATCGGAACGGCTCTGTAAGGATGGACGATGGTTTTCGTATTTTTTGGGTAACTCTCAGTGGCATTAAATAGACGAAGTGGCAAGCGGGTTTTCCCAAATAGGTTTAACAGATAGGATCAAGGAATCATAAAATATCCCTTTTCGCGAACCAAGGATCGAGTTCGATGGAATAAAAGTTATGTAAAACACATACGTATAGTATTCCCAGAAGATAGCAAGTTCATAAATGGACTAAGTAATACAGACTGATGTTGATGATGGAGCTAGGAAGATTTATTTTGTACCTTCACATTTGCAATAGACACGTATCTCGAAGTCAGGGCAGACATCCTCTGGTACGCGACAGACCAAGCCCTGCTCCAGGCTGCACTCTACATTTAGACCAGTCTCCTTGGCGGTCTTGTGACCTACGACGGTGCGGCATTCGATCGTCTTCATCATATCTGGCTTGCACATTGGGGCGCCTACCACCTACAGGTATCAGTTTACATTCAAGTGAGCTTTATTAAAACAATTATACATAAGCTCTTTCCAAAGTTCCTGGGAAAAAAGAATTGGAAAAAAAATGTGTTTAAAATGCAGCAAATAGATGATTGCGCTATTTCCTCGGTAAGTCTGTTGTTTTAATTAAGGTTAGGTTAGTTATTTTGAAGATAATTGATTCCTCGCTATATTTTGCAATTATATTTTTCTCACCAGTTCGTTGGGTCTAGGTAACGGTTCGTTTTCTATGGAGGCGCCGTCGGGTGCGATCTCCGCCGGTCCTCGGTTGAGCCAGGGCGTCCAACCGGTGACGCAGCCTAGCGGCTGGTCGTGCGGCTTCGGTGACGTAGGGGGACCCGATGGTGTTGTCTGTTTGACAAATTTAAAATGTTATAAACGACCAATTCAATTACAATAAGTCCAGTTGTTAAAAGTATTGAATAAAGACTCACATCAGTTGTAGGGCAAGGTTGGCCGGAACAGACTTTAGTCTTTTTGGAGCATCTGCATGTGTGGCAGTCGTCCGCCTCTATGACGTCACCCTCGAGGATCTCCCTGCCATCCTCCAGGGTCATGCAGACGGGACGGCACTTAGCGCGCGGGACGCACTCTGTCAGGGAGCTGTTCGAATACACCGTGCCCTCGGGACACGTCTTGTTGGCCTGGCAACCTTGGGATAGAAGTAATGATTAGTACATACAAAGAACTGACCAGGAATGCAAAAGATACAAAGAATAAGGTAGTTTTCTTTGAAGGCATACCTTCTATGCAAGACTCTTTCTCGCAGACGGCCTTTAACTTATCGTAGTCGAGCATGTTGTCGCAAGTCTCGGGCGGGCAGGGTGACATACACGAGTTGTAGTTACTGCACTTGGTGTCGCACTGCATCGCTGAACAAGGTTATTGAGAAAGGTCAAATATGGTCTTTTTATTACAAATATCGCAATGGAATTGTGATGTCAATTGTTATACTTACGGCAAAGGTCCTGCTTGCGCCAGTCAAAGGTAACTCCTCGTGCGGCGCAGGCGTACGCGTAGTTAGCTATAGCGGCGCACGCGCAGCGGCAGTCATCGCCGGCGTCGCAAGCGCACGCGTCCGCCTCGCAGGCGCGCACGTGCGCCTCCACCGGCACCTCCGCGTGGCACAGCGAGAACGGGAACCGCTTCAACGCTCCACATGTTGTGGTCGCCCATTCTTTACGTTGTGGTCGTTGCTTACAATGGTCCTGAAACATCGGTAATATAAATTATTTCAAATTATAGCGGCTATCGTACGCTTAATATATAAAAAATGTTTATAATGTACGTGATAAAAAAAATTGAATAAGGTATTCTTACCGCTACTTCTTGAGGCTTTGGACATGTTGGCTTCAGTTTCCAGGAGTCGGCAAATATAAGAGCGGATGTTTCGGCGAATCCGCCGCCAGATGGCGTTTGGAAGTCGTCGCGCATGTCCGAGTTGTAGTTACCGCATAAACCTTTCACCTGTGACAAATGACTTCAGTTGTAGAACAAAAGTGACCACGCTAAACTTATTGTCCCTTTATAAGCATCTATAAGAACTGACCCTGTTCTGCCACATAGCGTCGACCTTGACATAGACGCGCAGTTCGCGGTCCCACTGCAAGCTCATGCCGAGGCTGGGTACATCGGCAAACACGTACGCGCCTGCGATGCGGAGCTTTATCCTAAAAGTGTCCCAAGAAATTAAGAGCTGTATTTATAAGACGTGATTGAAACGAATGGGAAGAATATTTGTAGTTAATTTTAAACTCTTTAGATCAGATGAATAAACACCATACCTCTTCAAATTAGTGGCATCAGGTAATGGTGCTCCCTGTGAGAGTGAGATGGACTCCTCGCTGCCGTCGGCGTTGGTGACCCTGAGGGTCACGGACTTGGAGCAGGTAGCGCCGGTTGTTCCGCACGGCACGTTCTGAATATCAAGAACATCTCGTATATTCTGATTTCATAATCATAACTCCGATATTCACAATATCTAATAAACCTATTAATGTGATAAAGATTTAAAAACATCAAATACTTCAAATTTTTTAATGAGCTTAGTAGAAATTTGGGTATAATTTCTCCTTGTATCACACAACAAACCTGAATCTCAACACTGAAGCCATCTTGTCCGTCCATGGATCCCTTGGCGAGGAGGTATGTGCAGACGCCCTCAAAATCGTAGTGAGTACCGTCGAAAGTGGCGAGGTGGGAGTCACCCCATGCGCTGCATACGCCAGAGCAAGCGCGCGCGCTGCACGACCAGCTGCCACTCTTGCATTCGCTACACGAACAAATTCAATATAAAGTCTTCCCATACATTTTTTCCTCGGAACCTACAACACTTTTGCTTACTTTTGACATGAAAGATATCACTAAAATAAAATATGGGACAAAGTGGCACTATAGCTGATAGACCAGCATTAGTTCAGTGTTTTATCGATGGACTTATGTTCGAATCTTATTCACTTTAAAGCCGTTAATATTTTACGTTTTATTTTTGATCTATTATCTATATATCTATCTTTCTATCTATATTGTATTAAAAAAACACGTAGCGTTTTCTAATTAAATATTTATTTACATCAATTTAGTTAAAACAATAAACGTAATTAAAAATATCTAGATTGTTTAATTGTGAGTTATGTAAACAGGTTTACGTTTGCGTAAGCAGCGAATTGTAACAGACATGGTGACACACTTTTGTAATTTTTACGCGTATGGAATTTAATTTCGAAATATAACTTTTATATTTGTTTAATTCTTAAACTTTACCAATAGGGGGCGTAGCTCAGATGGTAGAGCGCTCGCTTAGCATGCGAGAGGTACCGGGATCGATACCCGGCGCCTCCAATTTCTTTTTTTGAATTTTGGTAAAATGTTTTTAAATCTAAATCTGCACTATATCTCGGAAAACAATAATGATTTTTCTTTGCATAAGTACAGAAAAATAGAAAAACATATTTTGGTACTTTTCTATAAGTGAGCATGAATTTACAAAAAGAAATTGGAGGCGCCGGGTATCGATCCCGGTACCTCTCGCATGCTAAGCGAGCGCTCTACCATCTGAGCTACGCCCCCTGATAGCGTAGTGAGTGAAAATTGGCAAGTGAAGACATACCTTAACTTTTTAAATTTATTTTATTTTTGTCACGGTTTTACGCCCTAATAACTCACCATGTGTTGCATTCTTCCTGCATCTTCTCCCCGTCAGCATAGCTCCTGCCGCCGTGGTGGCAGGGGCAGTTAGTGGGTTGCACACACTTGCCCGACCCCGTGTCCAACACGAAGCCCTTCTTGCATTGGCAGCCTGGCCGGCACTCGCTCGCACGCGTCAAAGGAGGTAGATGCATGTTCTGTACAACCAAATATGTCCTACAAAAACTAAACTCAACTGATTGAAATAATTACCAAGTTTGGCAAAACATTTAAAAAAATTGATTATTATCATTTCTTTTAGTGGTTAACAATTGTAATGAAATCAAATCATTGTATGACAATGAATGAATTGTAATGATGCATTGTGATATAATGTCACTGTTAAGTTATAAATATCGCCAGTTATAAATTTTACTATTTGAATTTGACAAGATGAGAACTGATTGAAATCGCGACTGACCTTGCAGGTGAGTGGCTCCGCTAGCTCGCAGGTGGTGAATTCTCTATGCTGTAATGAGCTGCAGTTACTACGCAGGTCCTCAGCGGGCGGATATCGCAAGATCTCCTCGGGTGTGGCCGGCACGCAGTCCCATCTCGCACCAACGCATGTACTGTACACAATCAACTGGACATTAGTCTCCTCAATCTCCCAAGACTTGTTAATACAATTCAAAGAAAGTTATGTACCAAAGTTCGCGCTCTCGTGTGCCGGCCCTTACTTCTTTGTAACCAGGCATGAACTCCATACCCTTGTGGAAGCAGGGACACAGAGCGATAGGAACACAAACATTGCTGCTGTCCAGTACCTGATAGTTATTAATTATATTAAAACATGAATAAAACATGGTAAAACCGATTGCAAATTTCGTTAAACAGTAGACCAGATTGTTTTACCTGTCCAGTAGGACAAGCGCATCCCTCAACGCAGGTCGGTTTGCACGTGCTCTTAGCGGTGAGGGCTACGTCCGTGCAAGTCCGCACGCAGCTATCCGCACACACCGTGTACTCCTGGCCACCGGTACATGATAGCTCTGGAAAAGACCAAACAAATAATTCCATGCTTGAATTTAGTGCTTTTATTTTCCTTAATTTAAACGTCGTTTTAAAATATGTCAGTCTCAAGAAAAGAATTGAAAATTTATTGCTGTTATTTGACAAACAAAATTTGTTAGTCTTATAATATATATAGTCTGTAACATCCAAAGTTACAAATACGAAGTTTAGTTTGTTCGAAAGTAAGACATTTGTAATTGTAACTGACCGCACTCCTTGACGTTGTATCTCCATTGCACGTGCCGTCCGTTGGCCGCGCACGCCATCGCGTAGTCGCCGAGCATGGGGCACAGACAGCGAGACACGTCGCCGCTGCATGCGCACATGTCGTACAGACAGTTCTCGTAGTATGGCTGCACATCCACATACCAATGGCAAGCTGGAATACGAACACCGTCAAATTAAAGTTCCCTCAAAGTTTCAATATAGGAAACTGCAGAACTACTATCGTATTTCTCCCGTCCAATTTAATAGACCAAATTTATTCACTATACTGATGCAGTCAATAAAAAAAACCTTCTCTAAAGGACTTACATTCAAATAATGCACTCTTCAATATGCTGCAGTATTTCTCAGCAGCTTCTTTATTTTCCACGTTGGCATGGCAAGGGTTCTCTGGTTCTTTGGTGGCGATGTCATTACAAAACTCTCTGGTCTTCCATTTGTTGGCAAATGCGAAAGCCGATTGCTCCACGTCACCCTCAGGTGTTAGGAAATCGTCTTTTTGATTCAAATTGAAAGTTCCACAAAGACCCTGGGAATGATTGTAGCTTATTAAATAAGTCCGGAACCGTAAAGAAATAAAAAAGCGATTGATAATAAGGGTTCAAAAATAATGTAGCTTATTTTCTAACCTTTGTCTGTTGATGGAATTCCGGTGGGACATCTACGAACACTCTGGTATTGCCATCCCACCATAGGTCTACTTTTATTGGTAGTTGAACTGCAACAAAAAAGATTAAATATTATTATCCAGTAGGCGTTTCTATTCTCAAACTGCTAAAATTTTAGGAATTTTAGGAGTCAATTGTTCTTTTTATCTGAAAGGTAAATTGTTGATCAAATTTTTAATTTACCTATAACAAATAGCGAAGACGCAGCCCTTATCCTGATGTCCCCTACATTGACCGGCAGCGCGGAGACTTCTTTGCCGTTGACGAGGATGAAGCCGCCTTGCTTCATATGTATGTTTGCCCCCTTGTAAACTATGTTAACTGCTTTCGTACATGATGGCTTTCCTTCACCTTTGTACGGTGCCAGGTTCATAGCCTAAAATTGAATAAATATTTTATTATCCTTTTTTACAATATAAGAGATAAAAACAAAGTTTAAAGTGTATCATATTTTATTTCGTATCTGTAACTCAAAGTACTGTACTGTACTCAAAGTTTTTCATTATCATACCTCAGTTATTGATCCCGAGCAAGCAACGTTTTCCACTTCAACAGTAACGTTGTCAGTCTGGAGTAGTGTGTAAGTGCATGTCCCCATAAAATCGTAGCGAAGCCCATCGAAGGTGGTGTAATGTGGGTCGCCTACTGCACTGCACCGCGCGCCGCATGGCACTTGAGTACAAGTCCACTCTCCAGCTTGGCAAGTGCTGGTCATTAAACATATATGCAAATTGATTGGTTTAATCGAATCATTTGTAACTAATTAAGATTTAGGGGAAAAAAATAACTTACCAAGTATTACAGCTCTTTGGTATAACTGTTCCAGGCTTAAAGCTTTGATTTCTAATCCTGCAAGGACATTCCGATTTAGGAATGCACCGTCCACCTTCTAATAAGAGTCCTTCGGGACAGAAACAACCCTCGACACATGAATTATTGACTGAAGTTGATGTTGCTAGAGGGAAGGCACAGCTGGGCTGTACATCAGGACCGCAAGCTTTATAAACCTTGCCTTCAGGACACTGCATAGCTGAAAGAAAATATTCGTTAACCTTCAAAGCCTCAACGATATCTTCTACGTTAGGGATCATTTAACTTACGACACGTCTCAGAGTCTCTCCAAGCAACCATTTCCTCGATTCCATGACGTAGACATTCTTTCGCATACACGGATACCGTTTTGCAAGCGCATTCTTCTGGACCTGGATTTATGAGTATTAGGTTAGAAGGTGTACATTCTAAGAGTAACATTTAGCAACTAAATGGAAACATACTTAAACTCATTGTGCACGCACAGTAGTCCCATTCACAGGCTTCCAGGAGAAGAGATACATCCATTACCTGCAACATTGAAATTATTGTCAAACTTGTTTCATCGACATTTTTATACTGAACAAAGTTCAAAATCATAATACTTTTTGATATATTTTGTATTTTTAAACCAATTAATTCTAACTTTCACATTTTAGAAACTTCATTTTTTTTTATAAGATAAGGGGACATACGAGCTATGGAAACAGCGAGGTGTTCATCGACAGCCATGGACATATGTGATATGTATAATTATATAAATGCTGCCTTACCTTTGAGCATTTCCGGAACTTATCCTTACTGAATACTTTATTACAAAACTGAGTAGCTTTCCTCATATCAGCATCAGTTTTAGAAGCACACGCAGTACTTTCAGATGGATTGCTTTCACAAATATCTACAAAAAGAATAATAAAATTATAACTAAGTAAAACGAATGCAGATTTAATATTATTACATTTTTTATCAATCTCAGAATATTTCCATTTACCTCCGATCTTATTTAGTTGCCAAGAAGTAACCATCATAGATTTAGTTCTCGCTATGGTGCCGTCTTTGATTAAAAAGTCGTTCTCTGGATTTCCGTCCAACGTTCCACAAAGACCTTTGGTCTTATTCCATAGAAGTACTGATCCTTCAATTACTATCAAGTTCTGAAATTATAAATTATGTTCGTAATTTGATAGAGTGGTCACAAGTATCACAACTATCACAACTATGATACAATCGTACTAACATTTGTGTCCCATTTAATAGTAACGCCCAAAGCGTCGAGGTTAACAAACACTTGGTCACTGGGCATAGAGACGCGGATGCCTGGCAACGAGGCCGGCATTGGAATCAGGCGTTTAGTTGAACGAAACAGGACAGCTCCTTCATCTGGAACATTACAAAGAGAAAACAAATGAGATATAACGGCAAAAACTACAAGATACAAGCATAAAGTATTTATTATTGTTATTTTTTTTATTTGATTTTTAATTTTATAAATATCTACTCCGTACTCTTGACTGTGGGAAATAATGTAACTTATGTGACATGTTTAAAGAAGCATTCAATAAAAGTAACGCTAATCAAATGACCTACCTCCAACACTAAGTGAATACATTTTATCGTTGATATAAACAACCAGCTCTGAGGGGCAGTAGGCAAAGTTCTTGCAATCTGGATGTCTCACTGCAACCGTATATTTATCTTCTTCCGCATCTCGCACTAGAATATGCTGGCAAGGTGACTGGAAACTGTATACAAACACAAAAAATAGGTATTGATTTCCCTGATTTTATCCCACTTTCAATAGGAAATATTTATGTATTGTTTCTGGTCATATTTGCCCCGTTACTTAAAGTTAAGGAGTTAAACGAAACGATCCCGACAATCATGATACATCATACTTAAAACATATTTACCTGTATATCTTTCCGTCAAAGGTCTTATAATGCATTCCAGCCCAGGTGAGACAACTCCCTCCTTTGGGGGTCAAGTCTTGCACAACTATTATTTGATTCCCTGATGGGATGTACTTGCCGGACAAAAAGGTTGTAGACTCGTGGACAAAAGACTCACTTTCACTCGCAGTGTTGTTATCGGGAATATCACCCTACACGTAAGAAAATTTCATATATTCATTAAGAAAGGTAAGAGCAATTCATAGTATTTTATTATATCCAAGGAAAAAAGACGAATACTATGAAATCTTAGTTTGCTATTTTACTTACTCTATGAGGATCGCTGGGTCGGTTGCTTGGCGTAATTATAATTACTTCATCTGCAAGGAATAATTGCAAATAAATACAAGTTTTCTCATTACTTTCTAGTGCTTCGATAAAGACTCAAGTAACCCACGAAACAGAGATGGAACTGGACAATATTTTGGAGTATTATCACCAAAATGTTCTGTAGTTTTAGACATTTATTAAATTACAATCCTTTAGCGCGAATTATGTGCTTTCATTATAAAGTCCAAAGTCAGAATGAATGTCGAAGAGATATAAGCGTCGACATTTTAGTAAGGCTAGGATTGTGTCGGTACACCTCCACACTGTCGGATTTTTTTCCTAACAAAAGTAAGTTACCATTGAGTAAGGTGAACTACAGACTCGGTAGTAGTGAACGAAATAGCTTAACCAAGCCTAGGGTCGTTAAGGAATGTAGAGAGCTAAGAAAGAAGTAAAAGGTTAAATATATCACTAATTTTTTTGAAACTTACTGAAGGTACAGTGCGGTATGGGCTGTGGTAAAAAGACACCGGTGGAGTAAAGGCAGGTGTACATGGCAGCTGGTGGGGAGCTGAACCCAGCCTGTGGAGGGCAACTCAAAGAACAGGAGAACCGCTCGCCGTCGCCTGAGCAGTTGTAGCCGCCGTTGAACGCCAGCTTGCGAATGTCACAGGCGGTAGCCGCTAAAAAAAATATGATCGAAGAATGATTAAACAAATTAAATCCCTAAAAAAATAAAACTAAATATGAACGATTTATCGTATTATATAATACAATACCATATAAGGACCCTTAAAATAACGCAGGAATAGAATTAACAGTAGAAACTAGGTACTTACAATATTGACATTGAGGCCCTCTGTACGCTGCTGAGCATTGGCACGTGTTAAGTGACAGACACACGCCACCGTTGAGACAGGGCGGGTCGCACTCTGGGATGCAGTCAGGGATGGAGGAGAAGTCGGCCCGTGTCGGCTGCCACTCGCCACCGACGCAGCGCATGTTGGCAACGGTTGTGCCATCGATAAACTTGTGACCGGCCATACACGTGATCGTACAGAACCTAAATAAAGGCTTTTTAGTGTTTATTTTCATTAACAAATCAAATACTATGGTCAATGATTTTCTAACGAACTTTTCGACCCGTACTATAATACAAAATAAACTTTATTTATTAGTGGAATGGTTACTTAATCCTAATATGTACTCCTGGTTATACCTGGTTATAAAAACCCTCTCATCGTGGGTTTCTGAGAATAAAATCCACATTTAAAACATATAGTCATATCTGTTTTGTCAAAGATAGGGATGGCGATGTGCTTTATGCAGAGATTTTGGACTCAAAAACCAACGGTCAGTGCGGTAATTAAGGTAAAAAGTATAAGCACTAACTCAGAAGAGCATTTCCTGAGCGAATTCATTGGTAGAGGCGGGTAAGCGAGGCAAGGTTTCTTCTCGAACTCGCAATATTTGCCGTAGAAGTTGGCGGGACAGTTGCACACGTTCGTGTCCACGCAGATGCCGTTGTTCTTGCATTCGATGTCGCATTTTGCTATAAACCAAAACATACGTCTATTAATTTCAATGAAAAATGATTCACATAGTTTTCCAAACATATTCCCTTGGATAACGTAGTTGACCATTCTAGTTGCTATTGTCAAGATGTGAGTAAGATCACAGTGTGTCAAACGTATATGACGAACCTATCTACAATTTTTAAACTTAATGCAATTGCAAATAATCTTATACGTATTATTTTTACAAATACTTAGGTTTTGTGTCGAATAATTTCATTTTCTTCTCAAAGTTTTCTTCGAAGAAAAGCTACTTCATAATATTAGTTAGAAATCTTTGGTGCGAATGACGTACTTTCGTTATGAGGGGACCTAAACGTCGACATTTTAGTAAGGCTAGTGTTATGCCAGTACACCGGCACAGTGTCGGATTTAATCCCTAACATACGTCGGAGAGATTGAAACGCTATAGTGTTGACTCGGTTAAATAATATCAAATTGTTATAATTAACTTTTGCATTCTCGTAACATTTTGCATTTAAATCTATATTTAAATCATAAAATTAACCCTGACCCACAGCATTTATCAATAGTTGGTACAATATGCACATTATCAGTAAAGTGGAGGGTTAAATAGGTCGTACTGTGCAAATCGGGATGTGCGCTAACCGACGAGAGATTTACTCAAGTTTCCGTTTTGTTAGATAAAAAAAATACCACGCAAATTGATAATTTTTGCGTTTATTTTTGTAACATTTAATGTAGTAGTTGTTTTGTGATGCTAACGTTACATGATTGTCAATTTAAAATAGTAATAAATAAGTAAATGGATGGTGAAAGTTTACATGCGCAAGAAAAACCAATGAAATAAGATTAATAGACAAAAGAAATGTAAACAGAGAACTACGAAATAATGACGATCTGTTAAGACTTAAGAGCGCCAATAGCCGTTAGGGGAACGGATTTACGATCATGTCGTCGGGAAATCGAATCCTGACATTCGACTATTGTCGCAAACCATATCCCATCACAAGCCTAGAGCTTACTTGGAATGGTACAAGAAATATTAGTAAATTAATCAAATCTGCTTATTTTTTAGTTAAAAAAAAGAAAAGAGCATCTAGGACCACGGCTAGGACAGTGCTCTCTCAGTAGTTTTATCAACTATTGCTCATCAATAGTCGCTTTTTATGATTTTTGGAACTAAAACTATCATGTATTTATTTGCTAAATATTCGTTACGAGTCAAAGAATATTTAGGTAAAATACGATGCCGGGGAACGGTAAAGAACTTAGTTTTAACCTATGAACAGATGTATACGCTTGTGCAAAAAATTGGAAATCCCAAGACCTATATATCTATAATATATACAATATAGCAGTCTATATGTCTATGACGAAGATGTCGAGTGTAGAATTAAATGGAAGAGACTATTAGTAGAGATAATTAGAAAAGCACACCCCACTATTACATGGGATGGATATGGAGGACAACGGAGGAAGAGTCTGAAATTGTAATAAAAGTTAAAAAATAAAATAAAACATAACACTTACGTGCCAAGACAGCTCTTGCGTGGTTGTTAAACTGGTCATAACTTGGCCTGAAAAATATGTTCTTAAGTAAACGATAAGACAACGAAACAAATATACTGGATACATTTACATTATTACTTATTAATAACCTTTTTTAGGGTTCCGTACCTTGAAAGGGAAAACAGAACCCTTATAGGATTACTTTGTTGTCCGTCTATCTGTCTGTCAAGACTATTTTTCTCAGAAACGCGTCCAGATATCAAGCTGGATTTTAATTTTTAAATAAGTTTTGTAAAAAACAAGACAAATAAACTTACGCAGTTCCTGAAGAAAACCAAGATTGTCTCTCCGCGTATCCACCGACGGGCGAAAACCCAGTACTTGAAGGTCCGTATCCAGGGTTTGACCAAGGTACATAACCGGTTTTCGTACCCGTGTAACCGTTCTTAGTGCCATGGTAACCTGTCTTAGTGCCATGGTAACCGGTTTTGGTGCCCGTATATCCGGTTTTCGTGCCAGTATATCCGGTTTTCGTGTAGAGATGCGACGAGTAAGCGGCCGGATATTTCCTTGCGTATGACGGAACGTAAGATGGTGCTTCTACGTCTGATTGTCTGGGACATTGAAAGACATATGAAAATAAATGACCATAAATTTATAAAGGATTTTTGGTTATTTTTCATACAAGAACTGGCAACATCCAGTATCGTAATAAGATTGTATCTTAGAGAAAAAAGAGAAACAAGGGAAATGAACCACTGATCTCTATATATGGATAAGCTATAAACCTTAGTATATTGCGTCTATTTGGTCATAGCCATGGTGATGATTGGTACTAATAGTAGAGAAAGAAGTTAATCCTTTGCCAGGAACTTCAACAGGTGCGTTTAAGTCGGAACAATCCAAAAGCTGTCATTTCCATGCAATGGCCTATCCATTTATAGAGGTCAGTCATATGAGCGTGGTCCAACTTTATTCGTTAGTTCCTTTAAGCCAATGCTTTAAATCTCGTCAAATGTAACGAATTACTTTTAAAAGTGCACTTTCTCACCCGAGAGACCCGTATAAGATAAGATTGCGTGATTCTTTGACCTCTCACTTGGCAATAATTACATTATTTTATAAATATAAATATTTTTATTTTGGCCAATGTCAATGTCATAATTCTTAATTTAAAATTGACTTCAATTTATAGATAAATCAGGATATGTGAACCAGTGAGATAGGCGCTGCTATTACTGCTGGTTCTATCAGAATACATATATAACCTACTAAGACATAGAAAACGACTTAAAAATGACATGACGGCTATATTTTATAAGGTGACAGGGGGGCATTAGTGAACTTTAATTATTTAGTTCGATATATGTCCACCGGTTTAAATAGCACTCTCTGTACTGTACACAAGATGTAAAGAACATTTCACAATAGTTTCTATAACATACACAAAGGTTATCAACGTTAATTTCTTCTTTCCTAGAAGATATTTTATCTGAGAGTAAATTTGTCAAAACACAATTTAAGTGGGTTAATTTTTAGGTCAAAAATAAGATAGGGTCGTAGACCCTTGTAGACCTTGTAGATCTCCGTAGCACGAATTATGTTGTAAAAATTTTCAATAATCGATCTTGCAACACAAAAATGTAAAATTGTACATCACGTATTTTATTAAAATTTTCAAAAAATATGAAAAGACTACATATGTTTTCGATTCAATAATCTAAAATTAGCTATTTACAACATAGACGACACAATTTCAGATGGTTTTAAGCTTTAATTATAACTTTTTTTTTAATATTCAGCAAAAAAATATCTCAAATTCAATGATAGTTAAAAGTAAGCTTATTAAAAAGTGTAAATAATTTAACGTTAATAATTTTAATATTATAAATGTGAAAGTTTAGATGGATGTTTGTTTGAAGGTATCTCCAGAACGGCTGGACGGATCTCAATGAAATTTGGCACAGATGTAAAACATAGTCTGGAAGAACACATAGGCTACTAATTAAGTTTTTTTTTAATTCCGCGAGATAATTATAAACAAAAAACTTACACAGTAGGTTCATAGCCTCCGTAGCCGTATCCAGCTCTACATAAATAAATCGCGCACAAAAATATGAACGCTTCTTGTAAATACATCTTCAATTAATTGTTCGTATCCATTTATGATGTACTTAACGACACGTTCGTCAGCCTGTAAGCCACAAGCCGAACTGAATACCGGCGTGTTAGCCAGTATTATAAATACATATATATCTTACATAAGTCAGGATATTCATATAACTGAATCCTCCCGATAAGTAAAATTATCTGCAGCCACAGGATTTGTCCAATAATTATTAATAATTCTTGTATTATCTGTTTTCATAGAAACTTATCAGAATGTTGTTCTACTTAATAACAAATAGTAAATAGGTTAAAGGAAAACTGTGAAATCAGTTCAATAATTATCGTAATAAAATTAATAATATATAAAATAAACGTTTTGTTATATGATTTAAACATTAATTTAGATGAAGATATTTTCTTTAGATCCCAAATAAGACAAGTAATAATATTACGATAATCAAACTAATACTGAATATAAAATAATTTTTAAGTTCCGGAAGTTTTTGTAAGGGGGACCGGTATTTTTTCATAACAAAAAAAAAGTTATTTAAACATTTATATCAACGATTATAAATTTCACCTATTGTCTGAATGCGCAAAACAATTTTAAACCATAACATATGCCGAATGTTGAACGAATGTCTTCATTTTTTAAATTCGGTTGATTACTTAATTATCTTTTATTTACATTGAAAAAGTATTCGGTTTTACCTTATTTACATTAGTAGCCCGAGTATGATTCCCGATAACACAATAAAATACATAATTGCAATTTGAAATGATAATTTCCCACTTACGACAAAATACGTAGTGACGAATCTGATTTCTGGGGAAGAAAATATTTACTAAACAAAAGCCGCAGATCTTCCTAAATAGCATAAATAGTCTTACTGTAAATATAAGGTTTTAATAATCTCTCAACCTAACCTTACATGTCAACTGAAAATTTGTCCCACTATTGTAATCTGCCACATATTAAAATTCTCTGATTTAATAAGTTAGTAAGAGTAAATTCCTGTGTATTAGACGTGTTTTGCATACGGTGAGAAGTCGATAGAGGCAATACGCGAAAGACCGCATTCTGAAGAAAGAATTGGGAAAGACTATGTCCAACAGTGGGAAGACAAAGGCTGATGGTGATGACATTCAAAGCATTCAAATTGGTAGTACAAGTTAAACTAAATAACCACAAACATTCTTGGAAAGAGTCATTGTAACCTGTGAGAAAAATGACGTACTGTGTTAAGGTCAAATAATTGAGGTTAAACATCAAATTACTAATTACGTGACACATTTACCTATAAATTAATGACATAGACGTAAGACAAACAGATTTTTGGAAAACGTTTTTACGTAAATAGGTACGATATATTTATCTCCTTTAAATAACGGAGCTTCAGAAACCTGCGTGGGCGAATTATGTATGTCCGTTAAATAATGATATCCAAAAAGGATATCCATTGCTTAGATTGATATCTTTTGTATCCAATTGCAATAATTATGCCAATCCAACTGCATAATCCAAATACGAAATAAGTACTCAATCGAATAAATGCGATATATTTTGTAAATATTCGTTTTTGTTTTTTGTTTTTTGTTAGTAAATACTAGCCCAAGCTCAACTTAGAACTTATTTATCCAATTATCCAAGTTACAAAGTAATGTTAAAAATTGCATTTCATTACATCTATTCATCTATAAGAGATAGTAAAAAAAATATTTCATGTCATTTTATTTAATGTTAGTAGAAAAGAAGCAACAATAGTTATTAATCTTCGTGTTTTTGTTTTACTATCGTGTTTAGCAGCTAAATTATTCTAATTCTAATTCGAACCCCAACGGTTCGGAATTTACAATACAAGTAGAAAGGGAGCTTGAGTTGTCGCAAGTTGGTGGAACTTTTTGACTTTGACTTTGCTTAGTGTTTATTGAGTTCAGACGTCGGACGTCAATCAAACTAAGTTTATAATTTTTTTAAATTTGTTTTCGACTTTTTTTATTACAAAACATGATATGTTTACATGTTTTTTTTATTTCTATTGTACATGTTTTGTACTTATGAAAAGCGTTCCGCCCAAAAAAGATTTTTTTTTACTAATGGCAACATAGACACTTGACGTTTATTTATTATCAACCGGTCGATTATTTACGCTTTTCGCAAAGCGACAAAAAATATCTCAAAGTTACTAAAAATACTTAGAATTCTTTGCGCAAATTACAATATGAGTGATATATTGGACGATGATTTAGAACTACGTGTTGGTACGTTACAGCTAACTTCAGATAATGCTAATGCGGATAATCGACGTGATAATGCGTCAGATGCTAAAAGTTCCAATAAAAATAAAAATCAATTGAACGCGAATCCTTCTGTTCTGTCGGGTGCTGATTCACTTTCATCATCCACGTCTTCGTTTGCAGGTAGAGGTAAACACGCCACATATTTTGTTTCCTTGTTACACTTAATTAAACCTAAAAGTAATTTTTAGAGAGTTTGAAGAAACCCTATATACAAACACTTGTTTACTTGTCATAAGCCACACTTATTTAACAATAATTATTAATCTAGATGCTAGAGCAGAAGGAATATCAAATCCAGAGCCAAGAAATGCATCAGAACCAGAAAGGACTGTGTACCCGCGTTACGATGTTCCATTCAACAGAGAAAATATAAAGGACTTCTTTACATTCCGTAAAGGTGTTGTGGAGAATGCTATACAAGAGTGCATCACAGCTTTGCTGTTTCCTGAAGATGGGGAATACCTAGGATCCTGGTTACTTACTGAGTGGGTAAACTTATTATATGTATACATTCTTTAAATTAATCAATATAACTTTAATATAGCAATTATGTAATTTATAAGGAAAGTACATTTATCTTTATTAACTAAAACAATGGTGGATGGAATTAAAAATGGACCTGGAAAAGTGAAAAATCCCTAAAAATGAGAGCCATTATCTGGTCTTGACTGACAACCTCCACATGCCAGAATCTTGAATCTCCATAGAATCAAATCGAAAAAAATATTGTAGTTCCTTAGAAATTCGCTTTTCCAGGTTCAACATTAAATGGAACACTAAAAAGCTTAACTTATCAAAAGTAAAAGGACATGTACAAAACTAAACTTAATAAGATGGTTAATTTTTCAGAATAACATTATGGGATAATGAGAAAGAAAGAATTGTTCTCCTTACATCGAGGCTGGTTATGACAATCAAATATGATTTTATTGCAATGAAGCAGTTAGATTTTAAAAAGACTTACTTAGATGATTTGGACACCATTGTAATAGGCGAGTTGGTTTATCCACCTTCCTCTTTAGTACCGTAAGTTATTCAAATTATTATTATAAGATATAAAACTTTATATTTATGTTAATAATTATTAAATCCTGGAATTATTTATAGTTATTATATAATTGACAGGTTTTACTATATGATAAGTGACAAAAGCACTTGACCTTACTTGCTTAAAGTGTAACTACATAAAAGAAAATGGAACTCATTTATACAATGACAGGCGCAGTATTGTAGAAAATGAACAAAGTAAAATATGCAATAGTTAAATGATTACATCACTATTAATATTATATAAAACAAAACCTAATTTTTTAATGTCACAGGGTATTGTCAATAATCTTACTTCTTACTATCTTTGACATTTGACTTATAACGAAAGCGCGCCATTCGCGCCAAAGGATTTTATATATAATGTTTAAAACTAAAAACAAGTTTAACACTTATTGTGGCCCAACAGTCGCTTAAATGGCATCGCAACAGGTGTGACAACAGTTGTCAAAGACTGTGTCATAGACCGCCTCTGCAGACGACCAACAGGCAACGAGGAGGCAAAACTGTTCGATCCCAAGTATTTTGAACCTAGGTACTTTGAGTTGCTGTAGATGCATTGATATGTGGCGGTGTGGCTAGCTTGCAAAGTAGATTAGTATTGCAACCATTCATTCAGCTCGGAAGCTGCTTTTAAGCTTAATAAAGCTGCTTTTTAATGTTTTACATTTACACATACTAATTAAATAATTGCACGTAATTCTTGTTATATTTCTTATTCTTATTTAATATTAAAATATAATAATTTTACTCATTGATTAATTTTCTATTTTTCATTAAACAAAAATCATAGTGTAGAAAATAACATGGTGGTATTCATTTCTCATATATCAATTAAAAAGATAATAAATTAACAATAAAAATCGTAGAGATAATATTGTAGGTTATCTTATCTCAGATAGTGTCACTTTCATCAAAAATTTCATAAACTAAATCAATATTTTAGAAGAAAATATAAATGCTCCGTTCAAATGTCTCTGAACTTAGGTGCTCTGGATTGATCTGATATAACAGTTTGCATGTCTTTGAAATTGTTATTTACATTATTATGCTAAAATCATTTCTTTATGTTAATTACTTTTCTAAATAATAATGATTGGTGTTTGGAATTTAATATTATTTTCTTTGATTTATATAAAATCTAAATTTTAGTTAATTTTGAACTGACAATTACAGGGAACGAAATCTTCGTGGCGTAAGACTAATGTGGAACAAGGGTGAGCCCCTGTCTCTTAAAACTGCGTGGAATCCTTTCAGTCAAGATGTACCATTTCTGACGTTCGCTTCACATCCAATATTTTGGCATAAAGGTGAGTTTACATTTAGCAAAAAGAATTGTTAGGTTGAATAATTTTCTGAATGTCAATGACTCTGACCGATTGGTATTAGTTTATGGACTAGGCTTATTAAAAAATAGCTTTTGATTAATCTGCGACAGTATACTTTTAAAAGTTACAATTTTCTGTAAACGAAATATTGATGGATGAGGTGACATGTAGAAAGGGAAAATATTATATTTCCATGCATCCCCTCCATCATTGATTAAAGGTAGGCAATGCATCTGCAATTGCGGATGTCTATGGCAGCAACTGCTTCGCTATTTCGGCGAATTTTAGCGGCTTGCTCGTTCGCCACTTTATAATATAAAAAAAAAGAAATATGTCTAGTCTATATAGTGAGAAATTTCATAATTGGTCAGTCATAAATGTATTTGAGCATATTTTGATTAAAACTTGCAGACACTGAGGGGGTGAAAGATTCACTTTTTTCATCGGAGCAAGAGAGAGGTTAGATTTAATTCTATAACGTAGCTTAGAGAAGTTGTGTTTATTTTTTCTTTATTTAGCTCCTGTGTTGCATTATTTGTTTGTAGAAACCATTACCCTTGTACTATTTTAAATGAAAGCCTAAATTTTGTAATATTATAAACCATTCATAGCCTTTACACTATCCCATGTTTTTTTTATATTTCGCCTAAAATTAAGACTTGAAATAAATCTTTTTTTTTATTATTATCTGACGCTCGCGACACTTTTTGCGCGGAATTAAGAATAAACTTAATTAGTAGCCTATACTTCAAGACTATGTTCTACATCTATGCCAAATTACAGCGAGATCCACTAAGCCGTTCTGGAGATATCTTCTAACATACATACATATAAACTTAAGCATTTATAATATTAGTGAGAAGATATGTTATAGTAAGTTATGGTAAGTTATTTATTACAGATGGCACTCTAGAAGAAAGATCTATGTACGATATGGAGACGTTTGCTCAAAAGTTGCAACGGGCCATAGAGTCAATGCCATCATCTGCCTGCTGTATACATCACTCTCCGATTGTAATCCAGAGTTATTTAGGTGTAACCTCGCTTCTACACAACAAGATAAGTCTAGGATTCTTCAAAGTAAGGGGAAAATTTAGTTTTTAATTCTTAAATATGGCTTATTTGTGAAATTGTTGCTAGTTTTTGTTTAATGGTGCAATTTCATGTTAAAATTATAATATCCGGTGACTTCGATAAGCCGAATATATAAATATATGATACGGTTTTGATAACATGTTGCTATGTGAATGTTTTGCCAGTGCAAACTCATATAATTAGTCATGTTTAGATGTAGATGTTCGTGTATTTTTCATATTAATAGCTTTCTTATTGTTACGAAATATAGAAAATATATTATAAAGAAGTACATATATACATATATGAATGAAATTATGTAACTAAGTTTTAATATATTTATAGTTTTGAAGTGTAATCTTGTTCTGAATTAGTTATCACTCATTTGGGTGGCGTAATTTAATTATTTTTGAAATTTCTTCTAAATTATTAAAGTTAAATTTATGAATTAAACATTCAATAGTTTATATCAGGTTTCTTTAAATATAGATTGTTTAATATTAATAAAATTAATACTTTTAGAGATTATTAGTTATAATCTTTTGGCGCGAATGGCGCGCTTTTGTTACAAAGTCAAATGTCAGAATGATTAGTGAGGGGACATAAATGTCGATATTTTAGTAAGGCTAGTGTTGCGCCACACCGGTACAGTATCGGATTTTCTTCCTAACTTTACCTAAGTAGAAAAAAGGTAAAAATTAAAACATAGCTTCAAATTGAGATATTATTACATTTTTTTTTATTTCATTACACTGACTAATATTTTGAATAGAAAAGGAATTTTAAATATGTAATACTTAATTTTGTCGTCAAGTTATATTGAAAACTATAAATAGCTCTTTGTTATATACATAATTTTTCTACTTATGTAAGATATTTCACATAACAATCTAGGTTATGTCGTTCATAGAATTATGTAAATATTATTCTTCTATATGATTTGTTTTAGTATATAACTAACGTGTATTTAAAACATCTATACTTATTAATTTATCTACGTCTTACAAAACATTACTTAACAAAGAACAATGTTTTATAATAGTTTTGTCTTACATAATAGTAAGTGAAGACATTGTTTTTGGTCTAATTTTTCAATAAATAGACAAATGAAAAGGTTCACTATGATCTCGAATAAAAGCTATCGATTATTTATGACCTTGAAAAATAAACAATTTGTAAACTCAAAGCGTCTATAGCTCACGGGTTAAGCATTTGACTTGCAATCTGCAGGTCCTGGGTTCAAGTCCCGCCATGTGTGATTGAAGGTCATCCATAAATTACGTCTCATGTTAAGAGGGACGTAGACAAAGTATGAAATTGTGTGACTAGGGGCAAGGGGGTCCACAATATTGTGACTTGTCACTTTTTTAAATATAAAATTTCAAATTTCTTAAATTTGTGAATTACAAAATACTTGTTATTATATTATTAGGTCGGGTAGGGACGGGGGTGTTTTATGTAACCAGCTGTCACAACCACGGGGTTAATAAATCACGAAACTTGTATGATGTAATTAATGGCCACTAATTGTAATTAAACTGTTGCATTGCAAATATATAGGGTTTATCTCATATCACTAGAAAATATTAAAACAAAACAATTTAATAATAATAATTTAAATATGTAAATTAATTTCATAGTTACCCCCCAAATGAGTGAAGTTAAAACTTTAGCTTGCATTTTAAAAGTGATTGTTACATTTTACTTAAAATGTAGGAATTAAAAAAAAATGTCATTGTTAATAGTTGTTTGTTGATATTTTGATGTTGAAATAATATTTAAAGAACAATTAAGGAAAAGTTAATAACAAAGTGATTGTTTGAAAAGTAAAAAACCTTTATAATATAAAATTGACTTGTCGACTACAGGTACACGGACCGCAACAATGTTCCGATTAGTTAGAGATGTTAATTATTGCATTTATTTTGTAATAACTTATTACAGTCATCAAATAGGTTAAAAGAAAGCTGCCAAATGCTTTGTTATACATATATGTATAATAGAAAATGGATAAGCAACACTCCTTGTTGATGCCCGACCTCCATAAGCGAGAGACTCAAGTGACCGTTGCCCATAGACATACGCAATTGCATATGCGTTGCCTACCTTTAATCGACGGAGGAGAGGATGCACAGAATGAAAAAATATCTTCCCTTTCCATGCATCCTCTCATCCCGAAAGTCCACTTCCACTTCCCATCCTTTCCTTATAAGAAAAAGGGTGGGTAGGGAAAGAGGACTAAATAAGGCCTCCGGGACACAAGCTCATCAGACTGCACGCGGAATAGCTTCCACTTGACGCCTGTCTTCTGTGAGGTCGTGGTATTTCACCGGGCGAGCCGGGCCAAGTCGTGCGAAGATGTTATAGCAGGCTCTACCACTGTTAAAATATATCGAAGTTTTTTGGACTCTCGCTTATCGAGATTTGACTGTATTCGAATTTATCTGATTGAAGCTTAACGTAGCCATGAAATTTCACTGCTTTGAATTATATTGATGTTTTTTTTTTCACAAATTGTCAATTTAAAATGCAATTCTGCTGTACCAGTATTATTTATTTGTGATATACAAAAAAATATTATATTAAATTTGCGTGATACTTATGCTCACTATAATTAAAATTTAAGTTAGTCTTGCCAGTTAAAAAAAAATATAGATTAATCAGAAAAAACTGGGTTTTTCCTTAGAGATTTTATATATAAATATCGAATATTTAAATTACATATTATTTATCGATTGTGTGACACAAATCGAGAGATTTTTAAAATAATTTCTTTGTCTTTATACTCGTAGCTTTGGAATTGCCAATTATGCTCTAAATAAAATATATGTAAGTTAATATGTTATATAAGGATGGTAATATGTATATTTGTATTGTTATAAAATTAATATGTTTGAATAGCATTTTATGTTGTAATTTTGAAGGCCTACATTTCCATATTTTATATGTATAAGTAATAAAGAATAAACTTATATAAAAACGGCTAAACAGTCTCGCGTGTATTCGTCCTGTGGCGGCACCGACTAGTATCGAGCCCATGGAGGGCCCTTCATCAAGGTGAGTGGGACTGGTATTATATCGCGGACGTGGCCCCCAGCTTACTGAGCGGGCCACTGATGGGCTCGAGACTAGTTGGTGCCGCCACAGGACGAATATACGTGAGTGTTTAGCCGTTTTTATACAAGTTTGTTATAATGTCTCACGAAAGTTTGAATAATTTAATAAAGAATATTGTGGAATCGTTATTCTTTTGTGAATTCGTGAATTCGCTTGTTTTCCAGTTAATAATAAATATTTATGACATTTATATGGTTGTGTTTTATTTCCTACGTTGCGAAATTGTTTGCCGTCACTTTGAAAAAAACTTTCAGGTTATTTTTTTTAATGTTCATCTGAATTTTTTATTTTGAAATATTCTTGTTCGTCTACTTGTCTTATTAATTTGATATTATCAAACCAAGATAAATCAACTTTTACAATATCCTTTTTTAATTTTTGTTTATTTTTTGTTTTTTTAGCATTCCTTGGTTCACTACTTTTAGATTTTTTTTCTCCATTTACTTTCTTGTCCTTGTCTTCCTCTTTTTTTAACTCTTTTTTCTTGACCATTCATATCTTTTTTGGTTTTACGTTTATTTTTCGGTTTTTCAGTCAGTTTCTTTTTTACGTTATCTTTAACGATGTTCTTTTTTGTAATTTCATTTTCAATTGGAATGTGGTTGAGTTTTATTTTATTTTTATGTAAAATTTTTATTGGGTTTCCTTCACCAATTATGGCCATGTCATTTTTATAAGGTTCAACCTTTTTGTTTTGAGAATTTAATATGGTATTAGATGAAATAGACTGGATCAATTGTATATTAGTACAGCGTTCCATAGTTTTCAATGGATGCTTTGGTGTAATCATTATTTTTGATTTGGGATTATTAAAAAAAATATTTTTCATACATTTATTGTATGTACATTCATTATTAGGTTTTTCTTGGTTATTATTTTCTTTATTTAATTTCAATATGTAAAGTTTATTTGAAATTTTAGTTATAATACCTTTTTGATTTTTATCAGTTTCTTTTTCAGCCAGTTTTTGTGTATTGTCTGGTTTTTTTAAAATAACTGGCCAGTTACTAATTGAGTCTTTGTTTATAGGCTTTCTTAAATCTAAAGGTGTGATGGAATTAATTTCTGATATTCTATCCGTGTTTTCTATAACTCGAATCGAATGTTCGGATTCAGTATTCATGTTATTTTTTGTAAATTTAGTTGGAATCGTGTTTTCTAACTGCATGATAGTTTCTTTTTTGTTAGTACTAGTTAAATCTTCAGTATGTTCTTTATTTAAATTAGAGAAATTACAATGGTTATTATCATTTTGAATTAAATATTCGTTTACATTGTTATTATTTTTGATTGCTTCAAAGATAGGTGAGGTATTGGGAATTTCATGTTCATTATGCGTTGTTTCAAGCTCTATAGTATTAACTTTCTCATTAATGTTATTTTCTATAGTAGAAACTTCATTAGATATGACGATATTCATATATTTTGTCAGTTTTTCAATCACCTTGAAAAATAAACAATTCGTAAACTCAAAGCGTCCATAGCTCACGGGTTAAGCACTTGACTTGTAATTTGTAGGTCCTGGGTTCGAATCCCGCCATGTGTTTCTCGATTGTCGATTTACATATGTGCATTTATCCGACGTTCTTACGGTGTAGGAAAACATCGTGATGCAATCTGCACATTAAAGAAATTCAATGACTGTTGCCTAGTCCTCCCTTAGGGGGGACATAGTGAGCTGATGATGATGAAACTTGCAACATTGAAAAGTAAAAGCTGGTAGTACTTTAACACGTTATATCTAAAAAAATAGCAACATTCTGGTTTGGTAACAGAACGCGTAAGTTACTAATTTTTATTTGTTGATTTAATGGACTACTTCAAAAGTTAGTACGAGAACTAATGGCATAGTTTAAAATGAGACTTTATTGTATTAAAACTCGAACTCGAAACGAAAATACCTGAAGACACTGAACGTCACCTTTACACAGTGACTCGTAAGAAGATATTTCGTCCAGGTAAGTTTTCGCTTGTATACTGCTTATCGTCTTTTGTTTGTAAATATAGTTATCTACTTTCATACTTATTTTTATTAATCTAGACTTTATACCTTTCATCTGAAATCAATATCTTGGTCAGCATTTTGTGACTACAACCACAGAGTATGTTCAAAAATTGCACAATTTAACTTCTCATTTGAAATAAAAATTTTATGTTTAAATAATTGAATTGCAATTTTAACAGTTATTTGACTTACAATTAATATTTTCTTTTTATTAACTTTGCTGCACTTTTGTCGTAACATATTTATTTATAATTAGAAACTCAAATCAATATACGAAATAAATTGTTGTTTAAAATGAAGTTTAATTAATTCCCGCTCTAATGTTTTTTTTTTAATTTCTTGATGACGTAGGAGGCAAAAGTTAATAACGTTCGGCCGTTTTTTTAATTCGTTTAAAGTTTATTAATATATTTAAATGTTATTTATTTAATTAAAATAAATCTTTTTCTATTATCTCTAGATTTATGTATACTTTTTGATGTTATTGACATTTTGTTTAATAAATCTTTCTTAACAAAATAATAGTTTTGGAGGCGCCGGGTATCGATCCCGGTACCTCTCGCATGCTAAGCGAGCGCTCTACCATCTGAGCTACGCCCCCGTTGTATACATTTTTAAATTTAACATATTTTACACGAGTTGGCACGTACGCAAAAGAAGTTTTTATCGAAAGGTATTTTCGTTCACTGCAGACATTAATTTCAACCTTGTTCACTATGAATTAAAGGCACAATACGTGTCTTATACAATTGATCATACGCGTTATTTAGATCACGCAATAAGTGAAAGTAAACGTGATCTTGGATTCAAAATGCGTAGATTGCAGTATTCAATGTTTATTTTAGTTTATTTTGTATCGGGGGGCGTAGCTCAGATGGTAGAGCGCTCGCTTAGCATGCGAGAGGTACCGGGATCGATACCCGGCGCCTCCAAATACTTTTTTTTAAATTTTGTCAAAATTTGTTTTAAATTTGTGGTTAGATTTGTCAACTATTATTAATTATAATTTTAAATTGTCTAAAAAAAACACATTTTCTGATAATATTTTATTTATTTTACAAATATTTAAAATTACATAATCTGGTACCGTTTACTTCATGGCAAACAGGACTTTACATTATAGATCTATGTAAAATTGAATTGAGTATGTGTTTCAACTTATAAATAAAATTTTAAACAGAAATTATTAATAATATATACAAATGTACAATAATAAAAATAATATGTTGTCATATTTTTAAAATTGCTTGAATAAAATTGAGATAAAACTTCTTTTTTTTTATTTTGTTGAAGCAATTATCGAATTAAAGTTTTTATAATTTCAATATGTTTTTAATTATTGTCATTTAATTTGAAAAGCAATTTTAATTTAATAATTCGATTTTAATTTGAGATAAAGAGAATCACTTTGTTGCATTTTATTTTTTATTCCGTTTTTTTTAACTAATTAACGATTTTGCCTTATTAACATATATTTACCGTTAAAAATACATTAAATTTTTTATTTTGTTAAATGTAACATTGCCAAAAGATTTGTGATGAAATTTAGATTTATTTCAAATATGCGTTACAGAATACATGACAGATATTTAATTTTTTTTTGTAATGGTAACATTGTACATGTAACATAATCTGTGACGCATAGACAACGTGTCAAGTCTAGTAGCAGCGACATCTATGCTTGGGGCACTTCGGAGGGTAAACGATGCAAAGGTCCATGCAGTACACGTCGGCGCCGTCACGTCCCTCCAGATCTCCAATCGCTTCACATACTTGCCTGTAAACAGTAATACATTTTTACTATTGGTCCTTCGATAAGTATACCATTAATTTGTAGTTTAAATTATGTTACGTCGGGAAAGTTAAGACACTATGTGAACGTGCCTAAAACTGATCAGATACCCATCCTTGTAGTTTGGTCACATGAACTTCCCTATAGTCAAGTTTCTGTATATTAAATCTATAAGTTTTGTATTTATTAGAAAAAATATCTAATTCAGATGAAAACGAAAACATTAAATAAATTTTCCCTTTTTATTTTTAATCATATTTAATCTCGTGTAAGTTGTCCAGTAAGATTCAAATTCAAAGTCTTCGTTATACATACGGGCATTGGCAGAGAGAATCAGGACAGTTGGGAGGGTACCGGAGACAGTTCGTCTGGCACCAGTTCAGCATGCCGGGGATGACGCGGAAACCTTCAGATGGCACGCACACTTGGTCCCTGTGGAATATAGCACGTTTATATTAAATTTAAATATTTAGTTGTGTGTAATTGCTGTATTAACATTGATGTTTGTTATTTTACATCTTATTGCTAATCCGTAACCATTTTGCAGATAAACCTGAAAAAGACCTGAAAAACTTTACTAGCTTTTTCCTGCTACTTTGCTCTCGCGAAAAAAAACGTAATTACGCATATGTGTAGCCCACACTACGTTCTACATCTGTGCCAAATTTCAGCAAGATCCGTTGTGTCGTTAAAGAGATGCCTTCTAACAAACATCTATCCATCCATCTGCATGCATTTATAATATAAAAAACTTTTTTGTACATGTCAACCTTTTGGAAAAACATGTTTCCTGTGGAAATCATTTTTCAATAATTTAGAAAATATTGTTTTCTATAAATGGTAAATAAAATTCATACGTTGAGAACGTTGATTATCGCGACACGCATAGCGACATATTAATGCTTATATGCTTATTTTGCTTAAAACAAATACTAGGCAATAATGCAAATTTATCATTATTTTTCTATATATTACATGGTTAATAACATCTTTACAAAGCTTCTGTACATTTGTGAGTAGGACAATTTACAAAACCGTGAGTTACTGCAAATACACAAACAAAAATATATTTCTCTCTGTTCTTAAAATAGGACGAACGAGATGACAATATGTTTTTGTTTGACAGCGAACTCACAGATAAACAATATTGTTAGTCACACTCTTCGTAAACAACACAAACATATTGTGAGTACAAAACATAAAAAAGGAGGATTTTATTCACAAAAGTACATTCCGTACTAAATACAAAGTACTCCGACACCAGGTGGGTAGGCAGGCACCCACAATCACCTTAAAAACTGGAATATACCTAATAACCGGTGGACCTATGTATAAGTCCTCCTCTGTAGAACTCTCAATATCGTTGCTGAAAGAAAATTGATTATATATTACAGTGCTGGTTATATACTTGTTTACATATAGTTGTGTATATATAGCATTCAATTACGTTTTACCTAATTACACGTAACGGTGCCTTTTTGTAATCCTTTCGTAAATTTCTGAAATATCAAGCATAAATATGATATATGTATAACTTATATTGCATACAATATATACGATAATAAATAATATATAACATAATAAATAGCTTTATTGAAAATATATAAATAAATAAGAATAAATAATAATAAACAAACTAGAGCAATATTTTTATATTGAATTGTTTTTGAAACCAACTGGCAAAGAAATAATCATTAATTCAAAGTTTTTAATTATGGGAACTTGCCCTAGTTTGTTTATAACATATAAATTGAATAATGTGAAACATAAATAAAATGTAAAAATAAAAGTGTGAAAAGAAGTTCGTTAAATATCAAACCACACACAAATGCACGTTTCAATTCCTCACCTGACCACCAAGGGGAAGACATTTTGAGGCATGTGATAGTCCCTGTAGTAGAGGAGGAATGGATTATCCCTCCTCAGGTCTCCGGCGAAGGCAGGAGGGAGTCCACCAGTGCTCGTGATGACGCTCACATCGGCGCAGTTCCTAAACGTCTCCGAACGACCGCATCCTACCGCCTCCGTGCCGTTTGGACAGATACCCCACATGTTACCTACAAATATTAATAAAGAGTAAATTAAAATTACTCCTCTTTCCAGACGAATTGGCGAGATTTCTATGGCGCATCCTTTTCTACTATGCATTTGTTATCACAGTTATGTGAAATTGTGGCGTCACTTTCTGTCTAGCGCCCTGGGCGTATACCAATATTCACCCTATCCTAACGTCAGCACTGGTTACTCTAATTTGATAAGACATTTATCTCCAAATCAAATTTAATATTATTATAATAATGAAAACAATAGAGGGTAGCATTAGGTGGACCTTGACGTCATTTATTGTGATACAGTACCAGTATGGTAAGTCCATTGTAGAACGCATTGTGTGCAGGTGACGTATGGCGGCAGCCGAACGCGGTACCGAAACGTATCTTTCTTTGCGGTGTCCAGCGGGATCAGGAAGCGGTCCTCACGTGTACCAGATATGTACAAAGGATATCTGCAAGGATGTGATGGAAGTTATGAGGAGTTTTCTATAGAAAGGTCGTTGATAAAACTCCTGTATACGTGAATATAGAAAACTTAAGAAATAAGTCTTGGTATTGTAGCATATCTGAACGGCTTAAGTTTTTAAACAAATGAAGTTTTATTAAAAAAAAGTAGACGTATTAGAGGTATCTATTATTAGTTAAATAATATGATTTTAATTTCATTTAAAAGTAAAATTTACATTAAAAAATCATTAAATACAGTAGTTTGTTGTAGTTATAATGAAAAATTGGAACATTTATGACCTGTCAAAACATTCTTGAGTGGCTTCTTGTTTTGGATTGTTGTTCGGACACAACTTCATTATGAAAGTGCCGAGGTGATTGGCCGTCAGCTCTATTTCTACTTCGATTTCCTGTAATTAATATAATTTCATAGTTAATTTTAGATCCAATCCGCTAAAGCTAAACTTTAATTTACAAAGTTACGATTGGGGTTAACGTTCACTCTTTACGTTCAATCTATGTTATTCTACTATAATTTTAGACTAAGCAATCATAGACCTAAGATCTCGTACAAAATCTTAAAAATATTCATAATTCTATAGTGACTTTTCACACAGTAACAAGATAGTCTGTGGTAGCTCAAGGGTGTATCCACTCGTCCAATCGGCTACCAGTTGGTCCTTCGAGTCGTTACAGCTCAGAGAGTAACTGTTAATCTTCAATCGATTCACGCTTTGTGGAAACGCACACCAGATGTTCATTTACTTATGCTCACCTGCCCAACGCTGTAGTGTCGTGTGATGATGCCTTTCCCGAACATGCCGCCAGCTTCATGAGGTCTTGGCTCGGACAAGTGCTCCGCGTCCCCGCACACGCCGCAACGCCCACCGTTCTGCTCCCACTGAACTAAACTCACACCATCTCAGTAACATACACAAATACTAACAAATACAGTTTAAATTCTTTTAGGTTCTTGTCAGAATAAATGCAAAATTATTGGTTTTTACAATCCACTTTACCAAACCCTAACGGAAACGAAGCACCAATAACCTAACCTAACCGAAGTGAACAGATTTCCGATCACGTGGTCGAGAGTTCGAGTTCCGCCATTCGACTATTGTCATAACTATGCCCTTGAACAAGCGTAGAGCTTAGTTGGAATGATACAAGAAATGTTAGTAAATTAACAAAAAATCTCCTAATCTGCTAATATTTAAAAAAAAAGACAAAAACCTGAATAGTATTTTGTAGGTCTAATGTCTAATTAGTGCACTATGGCTATGCTGTAATGAAAATTTAAATATAATTTGTAATAACACCTTAAATAGTGACGAATAAAGTTTACAAGCGATGGAAAAAATATCGTTTTGTATGGATCAATACCAGAACATTAAGCTTTTGTTGTGTTAGCGAGTTCAATAAACTTTACCTACATTATTCAACCGCAAGGCCTCGCGGCGAGTCATTAGTTTAATCAGGAAAGAACAAAAATATTTGCACGTGTTCTCTTTAAAAGGATATCGCTCCAAGAATAATCACAGAAAAAAATTATAAAAATGGTCCTTCGAGTCGGATAATAAATGAGAAACTGACCGGCATAACCGCCGCAGAAGAGTTCGTTATCGTTATAATTCACAGGATTCGGGAAACCAAACCGCCACATAGAGTTTCGTGCTGGAGGGTCCATCAGTCTGCCGTGACCCTCAGCACCACGACGGGCACTGCCTAACATCTGTAATTAAAAAAAATTACAATCATTACTTAATGTATTCTATGAGTAGATATTATTATATTATTTACATTCATAACATTACGTTATCAAACGTCAACATAAATGTATGGGAAATAGTTAATTATGAATTACTAACTTGTAACAGAAATATCCAGTATGTGAGAAATGATGCGCCGCTGCGTTTATATCTTCTGATTTCCATCTGAAAATGAAACACTTTTTTTAACCCCATTTAATTCATTGACATTAAAAAATTTAACAGTGGTAGAGCCCGCTTTAACATCTTCACACGAATTGGCCCGGTTCCGATGAAATACCACGACCACACAGAAGACAGGCTTCAAGTGGAAGCAATTCCGTGTTTCGTCTGATGAGTGTTCGTCCCGGGGGCCTAATTTAATTCTCTTTTCCTTCCCATCCTTTTTTTTAAAGGATGGGAAGTGGAAGTGGACTTTCCGGATGAGAGGATGGATGGAAAGGGAAAAAAAATTCTTTCTGTGCATCCTCTCCTCGGCCGATTATGCGTTGCCAACCTTTGGCAACGCATATGCAATTGCGTATGTCTATATGGGCAACGGTCACTTCGCTATTACAGCGATTTCAGGTGGCCGTTCGCTCGTTCGCCACCTTATGATAAAAAAAAAAGTCACAACTTATTGAATATTAGCTACAATTGTAGGAAGGAATTCCGAAACTACGGCAGTGTATCGGCTCATCACTAGCCTTATTAAAATATTCGTTCATGTCCCCTCACTAATCAATCTGACACTCGACTTGGTAACGAAAGTGCGCCATTCGTGCAAAAGCATTCTTAGTAACAATATCTAAAAGTACTAATCAATTTTAACGGAAACCTTAAAAATAGATACATTACAAAAGTAACTGTCTATTATTAACTATTATAAATAAATAATAGACAGTTATTTTTACAATTTAACACATTTTAAAGATGCAAATCTAGCAAATTATGATCTATTCGAAATGTAAATATGGTAATCGAAAAGCGTTAGTTGTGTCTAGAAATTGTAAATTTATAACCCATCTGATAACGATTATCAACGATTTGAAATTTTAATCGTAATATTTATTAGTAATATGGTATGATTTAAGGTCACCAATTTTGGACCAATAGCGGATTGACTAATACACTAGCTATCGCCCGAGATCAGTTCGCGCAGAATCAAATAGAAACATAATTAGTAGCCTATGTGTTCTTCCAAACTGTTTTGTACAGATGTTCTGGAGATACCTACAAACAAGCATCCATCCGTCCATCTAAACATTCGAATTTAAAATATTATTATTATAATATTAGTTAGAAATTACGTACACATTATGGACCTTTTTGACTGGAATATATTGGAAATCAGTCTTTATTATTACTTCCACTTTTTTCAGTGTCTGACATAATTTTACTAACGAGTATTTTAGCTGACGGTGACGGTACTGAGAGCCCGTCTTTGGTTTAAAAGTTACGTAGCTTTAATGTATCTTAAGTGTGTTATTTTGGAAATAATTTAAAATCGAGTCCACACATTTTGTGCCAATCGTCCAAACGGTATTATAAGAAATATGATAGTTTATGGCCATAAAATTTAGCAGAAACGGCAATAACATTGAAATTTATGCATTTTTTAAACATTCCAGTTGGCGAAGCACTCCCGTGTGTCACTTCCTTTTATAATAATCAACTCGCCCTGTGAACGATGACCTTTAGTACCAATTTCATTTTAATTGGTCAATATCTCACAGTTTAATCCATTACTATCCAACATTTTGTAATTAAACTCTTAATAAAGCGTCGAGGAATTTTACTTTTTTAAAAATGTAATCATATTTAACAGCTAGTTATTTTTTGTTTGGCTTTTGTATTGAATCATATAAGGAGGTTATTTATGATCGAATAAGTAGCTATGATGAAGCTATGCAAATTAAAAAGAAAAATAAACACATGTGACAAAAATAAAGAACACATCTTTAGTGGAATCAGACACTAGTGTGAGCAATAAATTACATTTTTTATAGCTTTTTAAATTGGCATAACTTTTTATAGCTGTTACATTTAATTCTGCCAAAACACAATCATTTTCTTTTTACCACGAGTAATTGATGAAATCTTTTTGTCCAATGTTTTGAAGCTAAGCTTTAAATGTAAGTTAAATTATTGTATATCGCATACTAATAAATACTTTGATAATTTTTAGCATTTTACTTTACTTGCAAATACTATCTTTTTTCTTTTTAATATAAATTCTGCGTCTATTTTCCTTATTCGCTGAGTCTGATGTTGATTTAATTATACTCACAATGGAATGTATTTTGATAGGGACATAATTTTAAATTCAAATTTATAAGATTGCATTTGTTGATATTGTTTCGCTGCAGTTGATTTTAAAAGCGTCGGTGGCTCAGGGGTCAAGCACTCGACTTGCAATCTGCAAGTCCTGGGTTCGAATCCCGCCATGTACCAATGTGTTTTTCGATTTCTGATTTACATATGTACATTTATCCGACGTTCTTACGGTGAAGGAAAACATCGTGATGCAACCTGCACATGTCTGAGAAGAAATTCAAAGATATGTGTAAAGTCAACCAACCCGTACTTGGCCAGCGTGGCTGACTATGGCCTAGTCACCCTTAACTTAGTGTAGACTCCGAGCCCATCGGTGGAGACGTATACTGAGCTGATGATGATGATGTACATTTATCCGACGTTCTTACGGTTAGTTATTAGGTTCTTCTTACACAACTTTTATACATAACTTGGACTGCTTAAACTTAATCTTCTACGAAACTACGAAGCAATAGTTAACTCTTTGGTTGTAGTTACGTAGTATTGCTAATTGAAGGGTTTATTAATTTATAATATAACAATATTCATCACATCCCTAATTAATAACTTGATATTTGTCTTTTTAAGTTACCCAAAAAGAAGAGTAAATTCGTTCCTAATGATTTTATTTGCAATTACATGTTGAATGTTTATATAATATATTAGGTTTATTAAAATAAATAACATTTATCCTCATACATTTTATTCTAATAAACGTCATGTAATACTTAGTTATTATAGTTTTTTAAGAAGCAATCATCACGGATCTTTATTACTCAGTCATCAATAAGTATGCATGTAATCCGCAAATGCTTTTGCGTATCGTTTGCATTGAATGGAGAATATAATACCCATGTTAATGTCTTAATACCATTGTTGACACGTAAATAGTTACTTTATAGGCCATAAAATAAAATTGACTTTGATATGTCGATGGTTAAATGATGACACCGTATTGGTTTGGCCTAAGTTAACAACTGTAGCGAGCCGCTTCGATTTTACGTATTAATGTGAAGTGCAGAGAATATCTTAGACATGCTTAGAGTAGGCTTGAGCCCTTCAGTGTGGTCGTATTTGAGTTGAAATATAGAATCGGCGGCATTGGAAATGTTAAATATTAAGAAATTTATTTATGCCTCAAATTATCGTCGTCGAATCAACAAAAAAGTCACTATAATTACGGGGTTGCAGAGTATTAGTTTTGATATTTCATTTTTCTTTTACTATTTTGTGAATCGCCAAAAGTTTAACCTTTAATCCGCCGCCCAGGGTTACGACCGACGACGACTGCGTGGTGGGCGTCTGGGTCAACAGTCGTACGGCCTTGACAGCCATCAGTCACTCCACCTTTAACACCTAATTATTGATTACGTAATCAGAAAATATAAGGTGATTTATATTGTTCTCAAATGTATATTCAAGCGGAAAAAATATAAATACGATCATTCAGACAAATCCATTTTTTTTATTGAGTTGAGATTTGTTGGGAGAGTTTCAGAATCTTACCATAAATACTGTTTGCATAAAAAATATGAGATATAAAGATGTGATTCTAATCTTCCACCTCAATCTTTAAGATATAAAACTCTTCACAGTTTTTAATGACCCATGAGATTTGTTACAATGAACGTATAAAAGAATTTCTATGCAAATTATTCGTATCAACGTGGACTTGATTATCGTCGTGTACCGTTGCTAATGGCTCCCTGTTCCGCAGGAAATGGAATGGGGTTAATAGTGCTAACGTCTGGTCATTATACATATGACAGTTATGAGGAATATTTGACGAAAAAAATTAAGAAATTATTTACTAAAATAAAAAAAATCCATGAATGTAACAACAACAGACCTTTCGTCACAATAAATTTCAAATATTTTTTTACATCGTAAGTAGTTTTTATTTATTAAAAAATCCATTTTTATTTCAATTCCTTACATTCTATTAATAATAAAAGCAAAAAAGTAGTGAGAACGTTTTGTCGTTACACGAATTGTAAAAAAAAATAATTTTCAAGAAACTTATTAATTAAGAACATGCAAGACCGTTCATTAAACAGTTTCCTATAGAATTATCGCTTACAAACGAAAACGGCGGCGGTACATTTATCACTATTTGCTATAATTAAATGTTGCCGACAGCACGACGCTTACTTAAATATCAACCGGCTTTTTCTTAAATTCAATATCTGATTTCCTGAACGATAGGAATACAAAGTAATTAATCTTCTATACATACATTAACATACTATATTACTATGGATACCAATATATTTCCTCTTTATGCGAGTTTCACAGTAGAGCGTGTTTCACACTAGAGCGTGTTTTACATCAGAGCGTGTTTTACATCAGAGCGTGTTTCACAGCAGCGCGTGTTACAAATCAGAGCGTGTTTCACAGCAGAGTGTGTTTCCGAACATAAAAATACGAGCTTCATAGTAGAAAAGTAAAGCAAAGCACTTGGGCATTTCAATACTGCTATTTGAACGCTCTCGTCGAGACATAACAATTTCATTATAATTAACACCGTAGGGAACAAAAAATATTGTCAACGAAGGATGAGAATATGTTTTATTCTTGTTACTTCAATAGAGGACATTCTTGTTGAAGAAGGGACAAAACATGTTTCAATACAAGATACCAGAAGTCAAACACAATTAAGCGAAATAGTGACCTACAGTGGAAAAACACACAAATAATACAGAAAACATGCAAAACTTCTCCGAGCTTGTTATCTAGAATCCCGCTTATTATACAGCCAATTTTATTTTTTGTTAATTTACCGCAACTTATTCTCAGTATCTCTCTGCCTTCGATACATGGAAATGTTACGATAACAATTTAATTTAAAACAATATTTTTTCCTTAAGTAC